TGCTAAAATCAGATACTGAAGCTTGGCATTCTGATCTAAGCACCATCATCCCTACAGATCGTCCCAGCAACCCTGTTGAGACATTACAATTAATTATTTAAGGAAACTTTAAACTTAAAAACAAATATCAAAACACTTTTAATAATTTTAGCAACACAAATTATATAACACATTAAAATTATAGATTAAAATAAATGTTATATATAATAAAATTTATATATATAACAAAACATAAATTTTATATAAACTATTGTAAAACAATTTATAAATTACAAAATATAATTTTATGTCAAGTGCTTATTTAAAAAAAATATTTTTATTGCTTTTGATTAAAAAAAAAACTATAAATACTATGTTAAAAAACTTTATATTTTATATATTTAACTTAATTCTTAGTGGCCCTTTCGCCATTTCCTCTTTGACCTCATTTGGACTAAGATTAAGATCTCAATATTTATTTAGAAAAGCCAATCCATTGGTCCTCGCCTGGCCAGAGGTTGCCCTTAAATAACTTTTTCGAGTCAGTGTCGAAAATGACCGCTCATTGGTGCAAGTAGTTATGGGAAGTGTTGCTAATATTATTAAAAGTGTTTTGATATTTGTTCTTAAGTTTAAGTTTCCTTAAATAATTGTAATGCCTCAACAGGGTTACTGGGACGATCTGTAGGGATGATGGTACTTAGATCAGAATACCAAGCTTCAGTATCTGATTTTAGCTGTTAGTATCCACCGATAATGTCGGATTCATAAAAAATACTAATTTTTTTAATGCTAAGCATTATATTATTGTTAATAATTAATTGTTCTGAGGATGATGGCAAAAGAAAATTAAAATATTTTAATATTTTGCTATGCTTAGCAAATTTTAATTTAAAGTTAATAATTGTTTTTAATAATGGTAAAAAAATTATAATAATCAAAAGTTGATTCCAAAGCTAACATGTCATCTATGATTAGCCTAGGTTTCTCAATATTAATTTTAAGTTTCTCACTCAAACTTAAACATCTTTCATATATTGGTAAAAAAATATTGTTGGCATTTACCTTAGCATCTTCATATATTTTAAGAATCCTCTTGGCTTCATTCATTGCTGACACAATGTTGATATTTTCCCTTTGAAGATATCGACGTAAATTTACAGTTTTTAAAAAAATATAATTCATACAAACATTTGATATAATAAAAGGGGTTTCATAAATTGATGAACACAATTTATGATAAAAATCAGCTAAATACAGTTGATCACTTCAAATCTCTACCTATTACAAGTAATATTATCTATTACCTTCAAATATTTATATCATAATTTTAGGTGTATCAAGTATCACATTGAAGAAGAATGATAGTAGTCAAAAAAATATGGCTATATCAATTTAGAATTTAAAGGTTATCTCATGCTTTATTTTAATATTTATTGTGTTATTTTTATAGGAATATCTCAATTAATATTTACACCAAGGGCTAAAAAAAATGGTGATAACAAACAAAGAAATACATTAAGTCACAACAAATTACTATCTAATAAATGTAATCAATTATTTTATAAATATTTATATTAAAATTTTAGATATATCTAAAAAATCTACAGAGAATTTAAATGGAAATGTTAATACCCTAGACTACAATTTACCACTAATCGTAAGTATTTGCAAATTATTATTCAAGCTATCATTTACCTGGGAAAACAGGGAATGCCATTAAGAGGCCACCGAGAAAAGAGTGGTAAATTGGATTATTATGATACATCAGTTAATGAGGCTAACTTCAAAGAGTTGCTCAAATCATATTGTCATCTAGGTGGTGATGAAACCAAGTTGATCTTGATATTTGATAATGTGGCTAATAATGCCATATATATATCTCCCGATATACAAAATGAAATTATAAACATATGTACTAATCTTATTGTTGAAAAATTAATTAAAATTGTTAATAAACTACCTTTTTCTCTGTACTTGCAGATGAAACAAATAATATCTCAAATCAGCAACAAATGTCATTGGTTATCGGAATATTAAACTTGGACACCATAAAAATTAGTGAATTTTTTTTGCAATTTATTCCACTTATTAATGGTACAGGAGAAAATATAGCCAAACAAATAATATCTTTTTTAAAAAACAATAATATTGATATAACTAAAATTATAGGCCAAGGATATATATCAACTAGGTTTCATCACCACCTAGATGACAATATGATTTGAGCAACTCTTTGAAGTTACCTCATTAACTGATGTATCATTATAATCCAATTTAACACTCTTTTCTCGGTGGCCTCTTAATGGCATTCCCTGTCTTCCCAGGTAAATGATAGCTTGAATAATAATTTGCTAATACTTACGAATATTTTTGGCCCCTTTTGCTTTCAAATTTGAGAGTTGCGTGTCAATAGCTGGAATCATACCTTTAGCATTTTGCGTTAAATTGGTTAACATTTTTATTGAGTTCTGATGATAACTGCATTTTTCGTGCGATGAAAATTTCTCTTTTGCATGTTTATATTTGACAAACCCACGCAAAACCAACTCTCCCAACTTTTGACGATTGATCCCACCATATCTAGGACCAAAGATTACACATACTTTACAATATGCTGAATGTGTAAGTTGAGAGTAACTAAGCCATGTATACTGATTTAGCCATTTATGTTGGAATGACAACCTCTTCTTTTTAGAATTTATTTTGAAGGAGGATTCCATATTTTAGAATATGTGTATAATTTCTCTTTAATATGTTGGGTAACAAAATTTGATATATCATAAGGGAAATCTGAATTGGCATAGCAAATCTCTATAATTATAAGACTAAATATTAAAACAAAATTATATATACCTGATGTGGAAGGTAAATTGAAACCTAAAGTATCAAGTTCATTTATATTAATGTCCTCTCCAAGTAATTCAGATATATCTAAAATTATAATGTAACTTATAAAGTAATAAACTATATCACTTTTAGTAGGTGATGATTCTAGATGATCTAGTATAGTTGGTTGTCTATTATCCTTTACTTTTCTGGAATATATGGGTATTGCTAAGATTTTAAATAAATATAATTTAAATAAGACTAATATTAGAACCTAAAGTATCAAGTTCATTCATATTTATGTCCTCTCCAAGTAATTCAGATATATCTAGAATTATAATGTCTCTCATAAAGTAATTAACTATATCACTTGTAGTGGGTGATGATTCTAGATGATCTAGTATTGTTGTTGTCTATTATCCTTTACTTTTCTGGAATATGTGGGTATAGATAAGATTTTAAATAAATATATTTTAAATAAGACTAATACCTGACATGAGTAGTAAATTGTAGTCTAGGGTATTAACATTTCCATTTATTCTCTGTAGATTTTTTTAGATATATCTAAAATTTTAATATAAATATTTATAAAGTAATTGATTACATTTATTAGATAGTAATTTGTTGTGACTTAATGTATTTCTTTGTTTGTTATCACCATTTTTTTTTAGCCCTTGGTGTAAATATTAATCGAGATATTCCTATAAAAATAACACAATAAATATTAAAATAAAGCATTAGATAACCTTTAAATTCTAAATTGATACAGCCTATAATATTTTTTTGACTACTATCATTCTTCTTCAATGTGATACTTGATATACCTAAAATTATGATGTAAATATTTGAAGGTAATAGATAATATTACTTGTAATAAGAGATTTGAAGTGATCAACTGTATTTAGCTGATTTTTATAATATTTTTTAATAGAGTATCTAGGTATCTCTAAATTTTTGCTCTGGGAAGAGGGGGGGTCCACCCCCCCCCCCGTAGCTACGCCACTGCTCATAGGTAATATACTTCTTTACAAAATACTAGAAATTAAAAACAAGAAAAGATTACCCCTTTCTTTTGAAAATGGTAAAATTCTCATATAAAAAAAATTGAATTACTTTTATTTGTACATAATTATACAAATAAAACTATTCAATATAAATGAAAAAAATATTTTTATATCATATAGATGGGGCTTATTTTTTTATTTAATACGTCTAAAAAATGATTTTGACCAATAATTTTTTTTATAGTGATATTTTTAAATTTGTAGATGAATTAATCTATATTTATTTTTTCTTTAATTAGCGGGTTAACCATAATTAATAAATTCAAAGCGTTGCGCTTATTTAACGCTTATCGAAATCGCAGCTGATTCTTTTACGTTTTTTTTTCTTTCAAATTTTATCAGCGTCAATCATCATAACGCTTCGCTTCGTATTTATAAATTATATCTATTTTATTGGCTTGATTTTATAGATAACGCGCCGCTTGAACATAACGCGTTTACCATTGATGAGGCCTTATTAGCAAAAAATTTGATTCTAAGTGTAGAGATACGATGGAAATTATATTATTTTTTGGTGCATGTTCAGACGGGTTCGGTTTAAATGTTAAAAATCATTGCTCTGTATAATGTTTATACCAGGTATGGTAATGAGGAAAAATGGAAATCGGTTACTTCCTTTTATTTTGGGGTTCACTCTTTTTTTTACGAAATAAATATGTTTTTTTTACTTGATATTCCTCTTTTTGGGTTTTCTTGAAAAATATTACGACAACAAAACAAACTTTTTCCAAACAAAAAAAAAACTCGCTTTTATTTTCCAAAATCTTCAATATTTTATAATAGTCACAAAATAATAATGATAATCGCAATAACAAAATTAAAATAAACAAATTTTTACAAATAAATAATTTAATAATCACATCGTTATGATAAACAAATTTTAAAAATAATTAAATAATTAACAATTAAATCTATCACAATGATTTTCTATAATTAATTACACTAACATTTAAAATTGCTACAGGAATATACTACGCATTGTATATCAGTTTTTTTTGAAAATATTGCCCGAAGATGGAATAGAGAAACATTCGTTTAATTTTTTTTTATTTTTTAAAAAAAACATTTTAATAATAAAATTAGTATTAAAAATTATCTCCTTTATATAACTCCTTATTTTTCTTTTAGCAAATCCTTTATTAGAGATGAGAAGATTATTTATACCAACGAATCGCAAATGATACCTTCCTCGCCCGCAGAAACAAACTTGACGCATAATGTCAACAAGGAGGTTTGGAACTTTATTAAATATCATATTTCGTACGATTTTTTTTTTAAAACTTATTTTGTTAGTGGGGAACGAGACTCTATCCTTTTATTTTAAACCGAAGTCAGCCCATTGTTTAAAAAAAAATTAACCCACAATCGCCATTTTATTTAAAGATTTTGTTTAACGAGCATTCCTTCCCCCCTCCTCCCAATTTTTAAAGAATTATTTTATTGGAAAGTATTATGAAATAAAAAAAAATAATCTTTTTAATATAATGTAAGTTTGCTGTCGGATTAATCCACCAGGAAAATATTTAAATTCACTCGCTCTTCCACCAATTTAAAAAAAATAAGTTTTAAACCGCCCGCTCATTCGCCCATCGTTTAAAATTTGTAACCGAACCCTACATCTCAGCCCGTATAATGAGCGGTCGGTCTAAAGACCCACCCGTTGCAGGCACATCTAGCTTGGGCCTCAGTGAAAATCACTAAAAACAGCAAATATTTTGTTGATAATTGTGTTTATTATAAAAACAATGGCTAACCTTTAATTTATTTTTATAAAAGAAACCAAATCATCTTGCCACAGATTCAGCAAAAAACGACAATGATACGATGTCCCAAGCTAACGAATCACCTATATTTGGTTTTTTAAATATATATTTTCTTAAATCGGAGGCTTATTTTTTTTTTTGTTTCACGTTAGCCCCAACCCTAAAATAAAATGTTTTTTTTTATTATTATTAAATTACTATAATGTTTAATAATTCCAAATAAATTTTTAATCTTGTTTTCCTTCATATTTCCATTTTTTTTTGACAAGATAAAGAACCCGAAAACAATTTCAAGCACTCGCGGCAAACTATTCCCAACAAGGACAAGACGAAAAAGAAAAGCGCGCCAAAGAATAAATCAACAAAAGGCTCAAATAAATCTCAAAAAGCGATTGTCGCTCACCCAACTTTCAGTTCTTCCGACGGCGAAGAAATACTTCCAAGTAATATATATAAGGAACATTACAAATCCGATTTTTTACATTATTTTTTTATAAATTGTTGTATTTTTGGACTTGTTGAAATCTGTTTGAATTATGGGCCCAACTCAAAGAAAATTATTTTTTAATCATACGACACCTGTCAGTAGTGTTGTTAAACGGCTCGTTTTGAGCCACGGCTAACTCATTATTCCATCTTGAAAAATATTATGCAAACCTGAAGATTTTGCTCATTGAAGCAACAAAGGTCTAGACATATATAAACGAAATCTCGAGGCTTAGGCATAATTTTTCTGGCTAATATATAGTTAGCCGTTTTAAAAAATCGCAAAACGAGCCGTTTAACAACACTACCTGTCAGTGTTGGCAAATTATATTGAATAAAATGATTAAAAGCCATTTTAAATACTTTACCCTAACCCATATCTCTCTATCCCGAACACCTAATCCTACATACTAGTTTAACCTTAAATATATGATAAACCTAAATTTAAAAAAAAAATCCAGTTGTGAATTCCCCGAGTTGGATTATCGGCTATCTGTTAGCCATAGTGTTATCATATGGCTCAATTTTTTAAAAATGGCTAACTCAATATTTTAGACAAAAAAAGTTATGCGAGTCCTCGGGACTTCGTTAATGTTCTTCCACCTATGAGTAAAATCTCCATGCTTGCGTAATATTCGTGGCTAAAATATTGGCTTAACCGTTTTAAATCGAGCCATTTATCAACACTTAGTGAGGCATGAGAAACATAACATTGAAAAATATAATTTGAGGTTATATATGTATTTTATTTTATTAAAAATATATATATTTTAAAAATAAGGACAAATATAAAAATTTTATTAAATTCTTTAAAAAAAACATAAATGATCAAAATGCTTGAAAAATAAGAAGTTTTAATGATAAGTTTAGCCATCATAAGGAAGTAGCCATGAATCTTTGAAATTTAACCGGATTACCTCAAAGCAGGGATCCAAACCGAACCGTTAAAACCTGTATTTTTTATCGAACTTAAACCGCTAAAATTTTTTTAGCTGAATCGAACCGCTAAAATGCCTCTGAACCGGTTCGAGCCTCATGATTTTATACATATAAAATAATATGTAAGTTATTATTAGCATATTGAAAAATTTCAATTATATTTGATTTATTTTAAAGATTATCATCAATCACATTTGATTGATAAGTGTCGGTCCTAATTTTATAAACTTAAGTATATTGTCATTTTACATTTTTTAAATATTTTAAGCTTATAAATTATAATGCTTAGAGAAAAATTAAACCCAAAATATTGTTATAAATCACATATCAAATCTGATATCGTATTGACAAGCCGGCAAGTTATTCAAATTTAAACTATCTCCTTATAGATGTAATTTGAGTGAGACGAATTTTGAAAATATATTAATTGTGCGGCTTAATAAAAATAAATTTAAGTATAAAAAGTTAAATATTGTTCATATTAAAATTAATCATTGATATTTATTTTTATATTTATAAATTAAATATTATTTTATGATGTGCAATTAATAAATGAAGGTTTTATACAGGGATGCGAACTAGGCAAAATTTTTGTACCGGTTCGGTTTAAGGCTAAAAAAAATAGGTGGGTACTGTTCAGGGAAATATTTTTGAACCCGGGGTTGGTTTCGGGTTTAAAAAATTTTGAATTAATAAAAAAAAATATTCTATATTTAAATCATAATTAATCTAGAATAAATTTGGTATAAAAATTTTTTTTATAGGCAAAATATAGTTAAAAATACAAAGCATAGTCATGTATATATTTATTAAAAAATTTTATTTAGTTGTATTTCTTTAAATTAACAATATCCAATATAATAATTTTTTACTTTGACTTGTTCACTTTCATTTCCCTCTAATTAATAATATTTGAAAATAAGTTAAAAATTAAAAAAAAAATGGCGTAAATGAATTTAATTGTTTAAAATTTATTAACACTTCACTTAATTGGAAATTTGAAAATATTATAAAATGTCAAGTAAATTATTAATATTTGTATTTACAATTATACAAATATCATATATTAATAACAATACACTAAACCCAGTTGGACCTGGGTTCAAATAAAATTCCCGGTTCGGTTCAGGGTTTTGAAAATTTTATAAACGGGGTTCATGTTCAGATTATTTTCCTAAAAACCTGGGTTTTCATCTCCGCGTTTGGGTTCGGTTCGAACCCCTGGTTTTATACATGTGTTTTTTAAATTAATGATAAAATAAAAAAATATTTTTCCTATACATAATTCGAATGTAGGTTTGAATACAAAAGTGTTCAAACCGGTTTTTAGAGGTTCGAGCGGAACCGATATTTTATTTTTATACGAACCTGAAACGATATTCATTTCGTTTTAAATCCCTGCCTCAAAGCTTATTTTTTTTTGTAATTTTAAATGATCTCAAAATTGTGGATTTAGGGCTTCTTTGACTTATAAGTTTGAAAAGAGATTAGGCCTGAAAGAACATGAAGCTACTAAAGCAACGACACAGAGCAGCTTACAAACCTTCGTTCATTGCTTATGGAGGAATCTGGCTAAAATGGCTAGAGGCCAATTCTAGCAAAGCCATCAGGGGCATCACTAGCCTTGAGACAACCCCATAATTTTTTTATATAATATATATAAAAACCAAATTAGTTAAATTTATGTTAGCAAACAATAAATTATTTCACTTCAAAAACAATCTCATTAATCAAAATAAAAATCGATATAAGATATATTATAACATCTTACTTCCGACACATATCTATCATTTTTTTAACCGATATTTTCATAAAAAAAAATACTTATGAAATAATTCAAATTAAATAACTAAACAAAAATAAAATTACCTAAAAAAATATACGGATAGATTACCTATGAGTTAATGCACGTAAACGTTAGTCATAATTATAAATTTATATATTTTCGTTCCCTCGAAAGATAAAGAGATCGATGATTCGCCGAATATGGATCAAGTTCCGGCAAAAACGTCACCAATCAAAGAACGCAAACGAGAATTAATATCAAAAACATACGTTAATGATAAAGGATATTTGGGTAATATATATTTTTTTTTATCATTTCGGTATATAGCGTTAATTTTAAAGTTATAAAATTAATAAAATAAATTTTTTTAAAAAAAAAATCAGTAACGGAAAAGGTTTGGGAATCTCATGTAGGAACAAAAGAAAGTCCCGATATAAGCAAAAAAGATGAAAATATTTTACCACCAATCGAAAATAAGAATTCGACCAAGCACGTGATTAGCGATAAAAAGAAAATCGCTACGAGCTCGTCCAAACCGAGTGCCAAAAAACAAGCCTCTATGACCGATTTTTTTTCAAGAAAGAAATAATCGCAACTGCGAAAATTATATAAAAATTTCGTGATTAGATTAAATTTTAATATATATTTTTCTAAATTTATTTATAATAAATATATATTTGAGAATATGCGACACATCCGAATAAATTCATTACGTGACATTTAGTTTTATCTAAAAAAAAAATGAGAATTGTGTATTTTGCCATTTTGTAAAGTGTGTAACATCAATATAAAATGTATAAAAAAAATATTACATATAAAATATAATTTTTTTTAAAAAAAATATAAATATATATAATTTAAAAATTTGTAAAAAAACACCGGAATTATTTATTGTCTTATAAATGATTGAGATTATATCACATGGTTAGGTAAAGTATTCTAGACGGATCCCTGAAACTAAGTATTTATACTAAAAAGATATTAAGGTATAAAAAAAATGATTTAGTCAAGCATTCAATAAGTATATTTTATTTTAAAACAGAGAGGTAAAATATTTGAGTTTTTTAAAGATCGAATAATCCAATCCAATCATTTCAGCTTCGAGCAATGTTTCGGGTAGATTCGTATTAAGGGTCTCTGGAAGCAATAAGGCTAGAAATCCGGCTAAAGTAGTGATAGCACCCATTATTATGGTCGGCAATAACACCCATTTCTATAGATTTTTTTTAAAAAAGTAAATCGATAATTAGATTAGTGATGATCATGGGAATGGTTTTGAGGTTAATGATAGGACTGTCTCAAATTTTACAAGCCGATTAAACACTGAATAGTTGTTGATAAAAATTGTAACTACCCCCCCCCCCCCCTACCAATTTCAGGAAATATATTCCAGCATGTTTCGAATACCTATCTTATGAATTGTAAGCAATTTTGTCGTTAATCATGTTAAAAAATCCATAGAAAAACGAATATAAATTATATTAAGTTCAACAATTCATTGTGAAATTTTCTAAGATTGATAGGGTAGGCATCCCAAGCATGATGGAATACGTTTCCGGTAAAATCAGATACTTATTTAAAATTGGAAAAAAAATAACACATTGCCGATCAGAGTTGTTAAAAGATACTTTTTGCTAGATACAGATACATCGTCTAAAATAATATCTAGATACCGATATTTTAATCAAAAATCTATCTAGATACAGATACCACATTTTTATATCTAGATACAGGATCTAGATCCTTTAACAACTCTGATAATTATAAAATAAAAAAACATAATTTATAACATTTTTACTCTGATTTGATCTAAATTAAATGAGTTGAGTAAAAAAAAAAATCATTATTTGAATTGGATATTCCTATTTTTTTTTGTCTTCGTGAATATCTCAGAATCTTTCTTTCTATTGCAAATATCGAGCCAATACTTATTACACCCTTACTAACCCACCTAGTGACGTCACTGTATGAGATGAATAACTTTTCCTAATTTTAAAAACTGGTTCCACATTGGCTACTAAATAAAAAAATTTTTTATCTTTGTATTTAATTTCTTAAAAAAAGCCAATAGAATTATAAACCTGAAAAATATAATTTAATTTGTGAAAATAATTTCCATTATTATATTTATTTTATATTAATGTGATTAAATTAACAGCAAATTTGTTTTATTATTCATGGGCGTAATTTAAAGTATTGGCTAAGCTAAGACTTGTGCCTATCGTAGTAACATAACGAAAAAGTTTAGATAGAATTTTAAGCAGGCTATGTTAAAACCTTTTTCATAGTGGTAATTTAATAATTCGGTAGAAATCCAAATAGAAGATCCTTGTTTTGAGTCTTTTTATGCAAAAAAAAACAAGTAATCATTTGAATTTCATAAATCAAATAATAAAAAAAAGGGTAATATTAATTTATTGCTTTTTTATTCAATATATTGGTATGATGTGATTTTTCCTTTAACCCAAATCCCTCCGGTTAATGAACCGGCAGTACCGAGCGAATAGTGATTTTATATTTTAAAATAATTTTTTTTTAAAGATACTGGTATATATCAGAAACGAAACTAGCTTAAATTTTTTTTAATAACATAATTTTTAAATGGAAAGCCATTTTGATTTGATATTAGATTATATTTATTTATGGTAGGGCAATAATGATATTCAAAGAAACAAATTATTAATAATATGCTATTTTTGTTGTATATTATATCTTATATTTGATAATAATTTCTTATGGTAGGTGATGAATCCAACAATATATCTAGATCAGTCAATACAAATGTAGAGATACATATTTTCATACAATTATTTCTTAATAGATTATGATTATTTAATTTTTTTGCAATATAGTTATACTTAAAATCAGAAAATATGATATTTATATTTAATAATAATTCTAGGTGATAAATCCAATATGTCTGGGTTCATACAATAATTTCTTAAGAATAGGCCATTTTTCTTATAATTTTTTTTGATTATAGATTATATTTTCTTGCAATGTAGATATTTCATTTATTTTTTGCAATATAGATTATATTTATAATGAGGTAATAAGATATTTTATATTTTAATAATAATTCTAGATTTTGGACAGGTTTTAATTCATTCGAGAAATTAAAGACTGTTATCTATAACTATGAAAGTAAGGTGAGTGCTAATTATTATATATATACATCGGTTAGATGCTCTAAAAAATTTCACTTAGCAAATGAAAATTCAATATGTTTACAAAAGAATATGTTTTATCTGTAAACAAGGTGGTATTTTTAAAAGTAAGTGTGAAAAGGCCCATAGAAATATAAAAAGTTTAAGACAAATTTGCACCAGTAATTTTGCTGTCAAATTGATTAAAAGAGATCAAAATCAATTGATGGTTACTCTTTTTCATGGAACACATAACCATGAATTAGGTAATTATATATTTTGTTATTTGAAACTATATATAAATAATTTCATAAGATGAAAAATTAATAAGCTAATATTAAATATTCCATAAATCACATAGACTCATTGGACACCTCTCTATATATTATAATCATAAGTATAGCTGAAAATAGGCAAATCCCACTACAACCCCCCCCCCCCCCCCAATTATTTTTCAAGTGATCATAAATTTTACATTAGAAATACACGACCTGAAAATGTATGTAATATTATAGAGAAAATTTATTAGCTTTAGTGGAAATTAGAAATATTTGAAAATTTAATATCTACATATTATATAAGCCCTTTCTCAACAGCATAAATTTAGTTATTTTAGATAGCAACCTATTTAAAAGGATATTCAAACAACGTAAATTAAACGCTAAAGAAAAAGAGCATATAATAGTCGGACTAAAATATGATGGCAATATTTCAAAAATTCAAGAAAGAAAGAAAGATATTCAAAAATTAGGTAAATTAACAACAAAAAGAGACCTGTATGATTTAAAAAAAATACATGATTCCAATGAATTTTCAACCCTTATTACAACAATAAAAAAAGATAATCCAAGTAATATTATAGAAGTATTAGTGAAAAATGGCAATTTTAAAGCTTTTTATTTCCAAACTCCTAGAATGAGGGAATACTTTTGACTTCTACCCAGAAATTTTATTAATTGATGCCATTTATTCTTAAATAAATATCTATTGCCAGTGTTTACCTTGCATATGGGTTGTTAAATCAGAAAGTAATTCAATAGTAAAAATGATGTGCGATATTTTTAAAAATTACAATTCAAAACATGATAAAATTCGATGCATTATATCTGATAAGGACTTTGCAGACAGGCATGCCTACAAAGATTCCGTTCTGGGGGCATCATCAGAGATCTGCTTATTCCATGTTTTTCGGGCATTTAACCGAGAAATAACAGTTAACAAAAGAAATATTTCAAAAGAACAAGTAAAAATAGTTAAAAACCTCTTAAGGTCTTTGGTTTATGCCAAGTCTCCTGAAAAATATTTTATACAATATCAAAATTTATTGCAATTAAATATTGAATCAATTACCAAGTATTATAATAATAACTGGCACACAATAAAAGAAGAATTTTGTATGGCCTGGACAGGCCAAACAACTAATTTTTTAATTTTTACAAATAATCGTACTGAAGGTATGAATAGAATTCTTAAAAAGTGTTATTAAAAAATATTCCTCGCTTCTAAATTTCTATAACAATTTAATGATTTACATTAATATGAATGATCAGGAAAATGATCTTCGCAATATAATGGGTTTAAATAGACCATCAAATTTTAAATTGGATTTGAATGAAAGGAAATACGAATCCTTACTAACTAGTTACGCACTTATAGTTGTATATAATGAGCTAAAATTATCAAATATATTAATTAGGAATCATACAGATGAAGATTCTACCAATTTGTTTCATATGTAGGGGCGACAAATAGTTGCATAGACCTTAAATCAATGTAACTGTGGAACACACAAAATCGTTATTGCTTTCCCTGTAGGCATATCTTTTTATTTACCACAGATCCTCGTAATGAATGATGGCGTAGAAATTATTTCACTCCCCTTAATTGGGGAAATTAGTATCATAGAAAATTGTGAGAATAAATAATATTATGTGCAATTAGTGATATTGATTCACAAAGAAACACAAAAATACACGAATTACCTAACAAAATCATAACAACCAAAACTCAAAAGTTCAAATATTTTCATGAACTGGCCCCCTAAATATCAACATTTGCATCCAAATTGCCAATAAATCAATATAATAAATATTATGATTTTTTTCACGAATATTTTTTGTTATAGATTCATTACCAAAGAATAATAGAGTCGCAGTAAGTCAGTTGGTTAAGTTGCAACCTGTTTCTTGCAAATTTAACCAATCACGTTCAAAATATGGCATCCTTTCCAAAGCAATTTAGCTAGTTATATACAATTTTAAGAGCGTAACTAGTTAGTAAGGATTCATATTTCCTTTCATTCTAATCCAATTTAAAATTTGATGGTCTATTTAAACCCATTATAGTGCGAAGATCATTTTCCTGATCATTCATATCAATGCAAATCATTAAATTGTTATAGTAATTTAAAAGAGAATAATATTTTTTGATAACACTTTTAAGAATTCTGTTCATACCTTCCGGTGCGATTATTTATATAAATAAAAAAAAAATTCGTTGTTTGACCTGTCCAGGCCATACAAAATTCTTCTTTTATTGAGTGCCATTTATTATTATAATAATTGCTAATTGATTCAAGATTTAATTGCAATAAGTTTTCATATTGTATAAAATATTTTGCAGGAGACTTGGCATAAACCATAGACCTTAAGAGCTTTTTAACAAGTTTTACTTGATTTTTTGATATATTTCTTTTGTTCACTGTAATTTCTCAGTTAAATGCCCGAAAAATATGGAATAAGCAGATCTCTGATGATGCCCCCAGAACGGAATCTTTGTAGGCATGCCTGTCTGCAAAGTCCTTATCGGATATATTGCATCGAATTTTATCATGTTTTGTATCGTAATTTTTAAAAATAGCACACATCATTTTTACTATTGAATAACTTTCCGATTTAACAAACCCATATGCAAACTAATCTTGTTTGCATATCCCCATCTATAACAAACAAGGTAAACACATGCAATAGATATTTATTTAAAGAATAAATGGCATCAATTAATAAAATTTCTGGGTAGAAGTCAAAATATTCCCTCATTTTAGGAGTTTGGAAATAAAAAGCTTTAAAATTGCCATTTTCCACCACAATACTTCTATAATATTACTTGGATTTTCTTTTTTATTGTTGTAATAAGGGTTGAATCATGTATTTTTTTAAATCACATACAGGTCTCTTTTTGTTGTTAATTTAACTAATTTTTGCATATCCGATTGAATTTTTGAAATATTGCCATCATATTTTAGTCAGACTATTATATACTCCTTTTCTTTAGCGTTCAATTTACGTTGTTTGAATATCCTTTTAAATAGGTTGCTATCTAAAATAACTAAATTTATGCTGATGAGAAAGGGCTTATATAATATGTAGATATTAAATTGTCAAATATTTCTAATTTCCACCAAAGCCAATAAATTTTCCATTTTCTCTATAATATTACATACATTTTCAAATCGTGTATTTCTAATGTAAAATTTATGATCACTTGAAAAATAATTGGGAGGGGGGGGGGTTGTAGTGGGATTTGCCTATTCTCAGCTATACTTATGATTATAATATATAGAGGTGTCCAATGAGTCTCAAAGACAATCATATGTGATTTATGGAATATTTAATATTAGCTTATTTATTTTTGATCTCATAAAATATATTTATATAGAGTTCAAATAACAAAATAATTACCTAATTCATGGTTATGTGTTCCATAAAAATAATCAATCATCAATTGATTTTGACCTTCAATTTGACAATAAAATTACTGGTGCAATTTTGTCATAAACCATTTGTATTTCTGCCCTTTCCGTTACTCTTAAAAATACCACCTTGTTTACAGATAAAACATATTCCTTTATAAACATATTGGTTTTTCATTTGCTCTGTACAATTTTTTAGAGCATCTGACCGATGTATATAATAATTACCACTCACCTTTCTTACATAGTTATAGATAGCACTCTCTAATTTCTCGATTGATCAAAACCTGCCCCAAAATAGTGTTGTTAAACGGCACATTTTGAGCAGATTATTTAAAACGGCTAACTAAATATTTTAGCCTGAAAAATATTGGCCAAGTCTAGAGATTTCAATAATAATATGTATAGACCTTTATTCCTTTTATGAGTAAAATCTTTCAGCTTGCGTAACATTTTTGTGGATGAAATATTGAGTTAGCCGTTTTAAATGGGCTCGAAACGAGCCCTTTAACAACACTACTCCAAAATCTAGAATTAATATTAAATAAATATGAATTTACCCATTATAACTATAATCTATATTGCAAAAAAATTGAATGAATATAAACTATATTGCAAAAAAGCTTATTATTAACAATAGTATGAATTACCCCAATATTTATATCAACTGACCCAGACATATTGGATTTATCACCTACCATCTAGAATTCTTATTAAATATAGAATATCTATTGCCCGATTATAAGTATAATATATTGCAAAAAATTAAATATGCATAATCTATCAAGAAATAATTTCATGAAAATTGTATCTCCACATTTGTATTGACTGGTCTAGATATATTATTTGATTCATCACCTAACCATATAAAATTATAATCAAATATAAGATACGATATACAACAGAAATAGCATATTATTAATAATTTGTATTCTTAAATATCATAATTGCCTGACCATAAATATCATCTAATACTTTATCAAAATGGCTTTCGATTTATAAATTACGTAACTACAATAAATCTAAGCTAGTTTCGTTTCTTCATTTCGTTAAAAATTAATTATTTAAAAATATACATTTTGGTAGTACCTATCAAAATAAAAATTGTAAAATCCCGATTCGCTCGGTACTGCCTTTGGTAGTTAGCCTCATCAACTATCCCCTCCTTCCCACTTTTTTAAAACAAAGAGGTATTTTTTTAATTTCCTATTTTAAACTTTCGTATTCGTATGTCAGATTTTATCTCTAAATACCGGTTAAATCATTTTATTTTGCGAATGATCTAATTATTTTTGGATGATGCTAGGATAGTGATTAAAAGGCACACCAGAAATGGGGTTACAGTTAATATGTCGCTATCGAAAATTATGTCTAGCAAGTGTAACTTATTAATTAAGCTCTCACGGTATATGTAATAAAAGGAACCGCGACGGTAAATATTCTGGAAACGGTTAACGTCAAGGCCATCCCAGTTCCCCTGAGTTCGGTAGGGTATATCTCGGAAGCGTACAGGTATATTATGGCAAAAGACGTTGTTATACCTATTTTACCTATTAGCGCTAGCACCAGAACGAGTAATTTGGAGGCTTGAAGATAAAAAAAAAGATATATATATTGTTATAAATATTTTTACTGGTAGGTAGAGGTAAGCGATGCCCAGCCCTGTACTTGGCCCATAGACTGGGTAACGTCTGATGATTTTTTGTTTGGGTCTAGGCCGGTGCAAATAAAATAACAGACTGAGCAAAATTATTGATGAATTAATATTTGACAGATATTGATATTCCATAAAGTGTAGCGTTTTTAATTCCACTCCCCAATATCAAAAATAATGTGTTTATTTTTGGTGTTCAACTATATAACAAGTTTCGGGTTAGGTCTTGTGTTTTAGAAAACTGAACCCAACAACCTTGGACTAAAATTTGGCCCAGTCGGGCTAAAGCCAAATTCAAAAGGGGCTAGGCCTAAAAATTTTGCCATTTGTTTTGCCATTTGCAGACCCCTAACGTCCAGGTCGAAAAGCCTGGGTTCGGTTCGACCTCGAGTATAAAAAGGTTCAGTTCTACTCTGGTTCTTTATAAAGATTTTGTTTCGTTCCATATTTTCAGTTTCCTGTTTCAGTTTAGAAGATTTTGAGACTTTTTGTGTTTTAAGGTTGACATTTATAAAAAAAATTAATCATAATATGTTTTTCAAATATAATAAAGTTAATATAAAAAAATAATAAAAAATCAAGGAAAAAGAATTTTATATGAATAAAACATGAATAAGAGATAAATAAAAAATAATGTTTACATAACATAAATTTGTAAAACTAAATTTATTCTTAATGACATATATTTCCAATATTTGTGATTAAAATTTCGTCTGTTGTGTCTTAATGTCAGTTAGTGCCACGTCAACATACCAAACTGAATTCGGCGTTTTTTTAATAAGCAAAATTGTCTACAATTAGCACTGTTCCCTCCTACAACAAATCTTCATTTAAGCGTTTTCCTCTATTTTTCTACCAATAAAGTAGTGATGAGGTGAAGTATACAATCAGAAGCGTAACATAGGGTGAACCATGCCAATGGCAATACAGAATCCACAGAAGATATCCGACATTGGAATCCAAAGTGCAACTACCATTCAAAATAAATATTATATATCTTCTTCAAGTTTCGTAAGGTTTTTTGTGTTTAAAGGCTGCTTCAAATTAGAACTCACATCTCTAAGTATTGTTTTTCCTTTTATAGTATCTCATAATTCCTTAATACAATAACCGTTATAACTATAACAGCGCCACTGCAAGGTTATATATATATAAACATAAAAATCGTTATTGCGTGACTTCTATTTAAGCTATAAACGTCGGACAAATTTTATTTGATAGCTAATACTTTAAGAAACATGTGTGCGGAATGTTTAATCAGGGGATATAAATATACTTTGCTAAAAGCAAAATATACTAGTGATTCTTATAATTTTTTGGATAAAACACGGTTATATGTCTTACCAAGAACATATTCTAAAAGATGAACATAGGTAAGAAATTAAAATTATGTATAAAAATACATTTTCATTTCTAATTTCAAGGCTGTGTGCCCTAATTAGGGTCCGAAATTTAAAACTATATAAACAAGAATTTAATTGGAACTGATTTTCTGTGAGGGTTCAAATCTGCCGATGGTCCATATTACCCCGGGCTTGATGTATGTCCATAAATTGGTCATTGTGTGGTATATGGTTTTAAAATGTCCACACAAACAATTTTTAAAATTCCGAACTGGGGTACACGGCTTTGCCAAATTTAAGGTTCGATATAACTAATCGTTCCTAAAGTATTATAGGTAGAGAGCTAGACTTTTTTCCATTTTGTAGGCGAGAGGTAAGACTACATACTGATCCTATGTAAAGTCTGAAATAAAAATGAGGTAAATAAAGTATAAACGGAAAGGGAGCGAGAAAGGACCCCTCCCCCTCCATAAATATGAGCGTTGAAAAAGATCTCTCCAAAGGCCGCAGCATCACAAGGGCACACGTGCTTGATTTTTAGGCATATTAATAGTCAGATGTCACACGTGTCTAACAGTAAGTTCTATCGGAAAATATATATAAGGCAAATCGTTTTTTTAAAATATTTTATCTAATAATTATACTGGAAAAGACTAAATTGGTAGCCAAAACGCTGATTCCAGACACCAACATACACGCGGCAAAAGGAAAGCGTCTACCTATTTTATCCAACGTAAACCAAAGGAATATGTAACCGGGCAGCTCGGCTAAGGATGCCAGCAAGAAATTAAGGTGAATATTGTCGAGGAAGGATACGTAATTTTGGATACCAACGTAGGACACGACGTTCGCTATCCTAATTTTTTTATCATAATTAAAAACTTTATGTTTTGGCTTTATTATTTGAGTATTAACTTTTCCATTATTTTTAAAATATAAAATTTGTAAAATTCTATGGCACTGAAAGAGAGTATGATACTGAGGTGGAGTTAGTTTGAAACTCCTAGTTCTGATCAAAAGTTGCAATTATTATAATGGGAGCCATGGACAGTGGTGGGCGACGCATTGGCGGTGAGACTAGAGGATGGGAAAGATAGACGTGGTGTGTGTAGATTGAAGGTGCAGATTGATCAGATATCAGGGTTCTTAGCGAGGATGATAGGAATGTGATTGGACTTGATATTAATCATCACAATCCAGTTTTAGTTTATATTAAATCGGTCATTAATATAAATATTCAAAAGTAACTAAAAGAAAACAAACGGGGAAAAAGGCAGGTTACTAAAAATAAATGTTAAAATCTGCAGTGTGTATTAACTGCTTGCGCTTTGCCTTTACCAATGCTTGGAACAATAGGAACAAAGTTCAACTGAATGATAATAAAACTAAACCAAAAACCAGTAAAACCTTTTTATAAGATCAAATTTGAGAACTTTTTCCTTTTGCCAATGCTTGGACTAGGCCTATTCAAAAATAATTCGAATATTCGATTCGAATAATTCGAATCTAATCGAATAATTACGAATACGAATAATAAATTATTTGTTTTATCTGAATACGAATAATCATTTATTCGATTCGAATAAACGAATATTCGAATAAAACGAATTATTCGTAATATTTAATAAATTGTTTAATAAATCTAACATTTGTCATAGGATGAATGGGAGGATCTTATAAAAATTAAAGCTATACTATTGCCTTTATATGAATCTACAAATAAGGTATGTGGGATCCTACTTATAATTTGGTTATACCTTATTATATTTTAATTCTTGAACATCTAAAAAATGAAAAACCTGGTTTCCATAAATCCTTTAAAATAGTTTCAATGTTTTTTTTCTTTTAAGCTTTCACCTTTTCTGGTGGTAAGCTCCTTCACTTATCCCTTCACTTATCTATTATAATATTAATATTGCTATCTATTTTTATCTTTGTATTTCTGATCGATTTCATTTGTATCGATCACCAGTGTATCATTTTTGAGGCCAAAGTATCTTGAACTCCCACCGGTGTATGAAATCAGTATCGACCAGATATCCTACCTGAGTATTCCCAACACGGAGTTATCAAATCGACAGATATCCCAATCCTGATCTCCCAATATTTGTATTTCTGATCGATTTCATTTGTATCGATCACCGGTGTATCACGAGGCCAAAGTATCTTGATCTCCCCCACCGGGCATCAAATCAATATCGACCAGATCAAATCGACAGATAACCCAATCCTGATCTCTCCCACTGGTATCAATATCGATGGATATCCCACCGGAGTATCGTTATCAAGTCCATTTGTAACTTGGTAGACAGACTTGAGCTTGAACGGCCCCCGAGGTCACCATCATCCTAGCATCATATCATATGTCTAAAGTCATACACCATCGAAGAAAAACCCGAAAATTTTTGCTCCTTCCCAGGATTGAACCCGGGACTTTCGGTTTACAAGCCTTCATCACACGCCACTGCACCACCCCGGCGATAACAATAGTTTCAATGTAGCAGTGATAAATTGTTGGGCTATTATAATTTAACTGCCGATGATGCAATAATAACCACAATAGATCCCAGGCTTAAAGTAGAATATTTTAAATCAATATCTGTTGATTATGATATTGATATATCCAAGTTAAAAATTTAAAGAGATTTACAATAGATATACAGGTATTTAATTTACCCCCATTTAAATATGATTTTATTTTATAAGCTCATAGTTATAACTGTCAAACAAATAAGGATAAAATTCAACAAAACAGGCTATACATTGTTTTTAAACAAAATAATATTCAACTGTGTGAAATAGATTTTTATCTGAGTGAACCAAGAGCAAAGAGTGATACTGACCCGTTAATGTGGTGGAAGGCAAATGCATATCGGATCCCCATACTCTCGAAAATGGCAAGGGATTATCTATCTATACAAGGAACATCAACTGCTTGTGAAAGGATTTTCTCAGTTGGAACTAATTTATTATCAAAAAACCGCATGTCATATAAGGAAGAAAATATAAGAAAAACTCTTTGCCTTAAAAATTGGCTTAAATTATAAATTAAATTAATAATATATATTTTAATTTTGTTTATAACTTGATTATTTATTTATTATCAGATTATTGATTACTAGGGATGTACCGATATTTTATATCGGATCGGGCCGATATTTCGCCCATTTTAAAATATCGGTTATCGGCAAATATTATAAAATTTTCCGATCCGATATAAAATGGCGCTTTTAACAAAATTTAAAAAAAGTTATATCTAAAAATCCATTTATTTTTATAAATAAAATCGGAATATATTTTTATGCTTAATTATTTTAATAGTAATAATTAGTTAATAAACATTCTGCAATATAGTTATTTTTTTTCGCATTCTGTTTAAAAAAGTTTTCATTAATCTCTTCAGAATCTGTTTTTAGTGATACTAGTGATATTAACAGTCCCCATCACCGCAGACCGATCTCTGATAAATTGGAAATTTTGGTATTTCTAAAAAGAAATCTTCGATAAATTAATTTTATATATTAATTTCAAATTTCAATATATTTGTTTATTACTAATTATGTAAATAGATTAATGTTATTACTTATTATATAAATAATTGCAATTGAATTGAATATAAACTATAACTGATAATTATAATATATTTAAATGACATATGTTATGGTATAGTAAAATTATAGATGTTGTACTAATAAAAAGAATATTAAAAATTAAAACCGGTATCTTTACAGAATACAAAATTAGATATGATATCGGATCGGTTATCGGCCGATATCAATAAAATATCTGGAATATCGGATCGGATCGGCCTCCAAAAAGTGGTATCGGTACACCCCTATTAATTACATATAATTATAATTTTTTCTGTTTAAAATCAAATTTGTAATAAAAAAATTTGTCAATATATTTGAGTATGATTTATTTTATTAAAAAAATTAATTCGAATTATTCGAATCGAATACAAATAGTAGATTTTATTATTCGTACGAACTCAAATAGTAAATTATTCGATTCGTTGCACTATTCGATTCGAATTCGTTTTTGAATAGGCCTAGCTTGGACCTATAGGAACAAGGTTTAACATTAAAATGTCATTAATATACTTAAAATCCTATAAAAGAACTTTTCTATTAATCAAACTAAATTCTTCCCCCCTTTGCCAATGGAGGCACAAGGTTTAACATTTGAATGATATTAATTCAATATAAAATCCTATAAAAAAACTTTTCTATAAAATCAAACTGAATCACCAACTCAACTTAAACCCTTAAAAAAGAAATTTTCTATAAAATCCAATAGAACCCCCCCTCCCCCAATACTGTCGATGACACTTATTATAATGTCTACAAATAATATTGATCAAAACAGTCCCAAAAAATCCCCTAGCACTGCCACATCCTGCTCTTCTCCTTCCATATGATCGAATCTAACACAAGAAAATTTACTAGTTTATAATTTAACTTAGTTATAAAAAAAAACAGTAATCTAAACCATAAAAGAGTATCGGCTAGTGTTTAGATAAAAACACTATACCGGTCATGGTTCAGTTTCAGAATAATATTCGAACCTTTGAAATCTGGTTCAAACATTTAGAAGTTTGATTTAAGATATAAGAAATAATAACGGTCAATAATTCGGCTATCTGGTAAAGAGTTTATCATTTGCGCCTGCGCAATAATTTTCTTTTATCCACCACCCCCCTAAAAATATAGATAAAAAATTTTTTCAAACATTTCTCAATCAAAATTTAGAGGAAAGTTTACCAAGCAAAGGTGATGATAAACGTCTTGTTCCTCATATTAGGATGGGAAAGCAAATCCCTTATACTCAGCTGTTTAACTTTGAGCTCCGTTTCTCCTACAAAATCATCATGATGTTTGATTTCTTGGCTACCATTTTCTACGCTCGGTTTATTCGAAATATCTGTTAGGGAAAACGCGAAATTGGTCAAGGAAACCGATGAATCGTTACTCGGCAATAAATCGCGTTTGAATTGTTCGGGGATATCTGCCTTTCGATGATCAGTGTTAGGTTCGTCATCTTTCTAAATGCGATTGTTTATGTATGTGTGTTATTGTATATTAACAATAAATTTATTAGATTAGAAGTCATGCAAGAAATTCTCCAAGTCCGTTAGGACCTATGACCTGACGATTCAATCAAATAAAATGCAATTTTGTGTGTCGATCATTACAAATCAGCTGATGACACGCCATTTAATGTAAATTGTTTCATAGGGGAAAACCAAAATGGCGTGGAACCCTATGATTTGTATTGTTTAAATGAACGAATATCGCCTAAGTATTTTCATAGGTTATTGAATTGAGCTAAGATAGATTGGGGCTGGCTGGACTGGACCATTTTTTTTTATTTCGTTTTCCATATAAAAAAATACCATACTTCTTTTCCTGAAGTCCAATATATCTTTTGAGTTAGCACCTATTTCTAAAATAAAATTGACCTTAACCCAGGGTGTATTTAAATAATCGATTTTTTTGAATATTTAAATCTGATTTTTTTTAAAGGGTGTAAAATTATAAACGATAACCAAATATCATGATAGGATATTATTTTATAGCCAGTGAATTATGAATTAAAATTCAGAAATTAAGATACCTTAATATTTACAATAAAAATCGACAAAAACCAAGAGTCTGAAAAAATGCCCATTTGAAAAAATGGGAATGACTAAAATACGCGTCCCCGAAAACTACGCGTCCCCAGTCAAAACGACTATTTTCTATTATTTTTAATAGGAAATCTTATTAAGCTTTATAAGATAAGTTAGAAAATGTTTTTTTTAATTTAAAAAAAATACGGTAACTATATAAAATTTACAAAAATTTATTTTTTTAAAAAATAAACTACGCGTCCCCGGTCAAAATACAGTTTTTTTTAAAAAATCAAAACGGATTCATATTTAGCTTATTAAAAGAATACAGAATATGTAAATATTATATTTTAAACTATTTTATAACTTAGTGATTTTTTCAAAAAACACTTTTTTTTTCAAAAACACTACGCGTCCCCGGTCATTTTTAAAAAATAAAAGCAGATTCATGTTTAGCTTTTTAAGGAGATTCAGAAAATGGTATTAATAAAAAAAAATTAAAAAAAAAATTTTTTAAAAATATTTTTTTTTGGCTAAACTACGCCTCCCTACGCGTCCCCGGTCAAAATACAGTTTTTTTTAAAAAATCAAAACAGATTCAAATTTAGCTCATTAAAAGAATACAGAATATGTAAATATTATATTTTAAACTATTTTATAACTTAGTGATTTTTTCAAAAAACACTACGCGTCCCCGGTCAAAAAACCGTTTTTTTAAAAAATAAAAGCAGATTCATGTTTAGCTTTTTTAAGGAGATTCAGAAAATGGTATTAATAAAAAAAAATTAAAAAAAAAATTTTTTTTAAATATTTTTTTTTGGCTAAACTACGCGTCCCTACGCGTCCCCGGTCAAAATACAGTTTTTTTAAAAAAATCAAAACAGATTCATATTTAGCTCATTAAAAGAATACAGAATATGTAAATATTATATTTTTAACTATTTTATAACTTAGTGATTTTTTCAAAAAACACTTTTTTCGAAAACAATACGCGTCCCCGGTCAAAAAACTATTTTTTTAAAAAAATAAAAGCAGATTCATGTTTAGCTTTTCAAGGAGATTCAGAAAATGGTATTAATAAAAAAAATTTAAAAAAAAAATTTTTTTTTGGCTAAACTACGCGTCCCTACGCGTCCCCGGTCAAAATTAATACCATTTTCTGAATCTCCTTGAAAAGCTAAACATGAATCTGCTTTTATTTTTAAAAAAAACGGTTTTTTGACCGGGGACGCGTAGTGTTTTCGAAAAAAGTGTTTTTTGAAAAAATCACTAAGTTATAAAATAGTTTAAAATATAATATTTACATAATCTGTATTCTTTTAATGAGCTAAATATGAATCTGTTTTGATTTTTTTAAAAAAACTGTATTTTGACCGGGGACGCGTAGTTTAGCCAAAAAAAAAATTTTTTTTTATTAATACCATTTTCTGAATCTCCTTGAAAAGCTAAACATGAATCTGCTTTTATTTTTTTAAAAAAACAGTTTTTTGACCGGGGACGCGTAGTGTTTTCGAAAAAAAGTGTTTTTTGAAAAAATCACTAAGTTATAAAATAGTTTAAAATATAATATTTACATATTCTGTACTCTTTTAATGAGCTAAATATGAATCTGTTTTGATTTTTTTAAAAAAACTGTATTTTGACCGGGGACGCGTAGTTTATTTTTTAAAAAAATAAATTTTTGTAAATTTTATATAATTACCGTATTTTTTTTAAATTAAAAAAAACATTTTCTAACTTATCTTATAAAGCTTAATAAGATTTCCTATTAAAAATAATAGAAAATAGTCGTTTTGACTGGGGACGCGTATTTTAGTCATTCCCGAAAAAATCCATGAAAGATTTTTTGCTGATAAAAATTCAAATAATATTTGGGAATTTTAGGTAAAATTTGATCAAAAAATATTTTAGTTTGAAACACATTTCAAAATTCTAATAAAAATGAATATTTTTTTAATTTAATAAGATAGCATACGTAATTAGGTGTTCTAATATTGTTTTTAATAAAATAGCAAATAATCAACAACATATATAAGCATTAACACCTTCATTATTTCCTTGATATCTCAAAAAAAAATATAAGGATCTTAAAATTTGAACTAACTGGTACCTTAGTTTGTATACAAAATTTACCCCAAATCCAAAGGGATTAGGAATATCCTAATAGATATGACATGGAATGACATATAAAAAAGTGTTTTATATAATTTTTTTTTTTAAGAAGGATCTCTTTACCAATTTTGAAATGAGGAAATTGTGAGGGATGGATACTTTGTTAACCTTGGCAGTTATTTGAATAATCTTTTCGGCTCTCTGATATTTTTTCTTGACTATCAACCATCGAATTGATTCTGGTAAAAACCTGATTATATTAAACAGTAATTGTAGTATAGTAATTTCAGTTTTTAGCTGGCCTAAAATTGAATAAACCTAGTTTTTAACCAAAAGATATCACCTCTCTTGGACTTTAAAAAAAATACACAACTCATTTATATAAAAAAAAGCAGTTATAAAAACATGGAAACTATCAAACAAATTAAATTAAGTGTGGCGATGATAGACATAAGTATAAATATGATCAGATCTAATTTTTTGCACTCTATTACAGTTCTAAAGTGCAAAATGTGGATAAAACAAATGCCATTTACAACAATTTTGTTTCTCAGTAATAAAATTAATGATTAAATGCTAAAATTATAAGATATAAAAAAAAATCTAGGAAAAAATTAAAAATTATATATAAATATTTATTCTTACCACCAATAAATATAGAAAGCAATAAATGGTATGTCCACAATAAGTGTCAATATTTTCCAATCCCTAACAAAGTAAGCTATTGTGGCAAATATAACCACACCACAGGCATAAGTAAAGCACATTAGAATGGTGATAAAGGCTCTCTTAGTTGGTCCCACTAATTCAATTGCTTAAAATATAGTTATAATTAATATGAGGAAATGGAATATCGAAGCATGAAAAAATTATTAATAAATAAAGCTTAAATATACTATAATTTGTTTTATAACTAATTTTTTAAAAACCCAATATAATTTCTCAAAAAAGTATATAACTAGGTTTACGTGATGTCAATTTATATAATTTACTTACATGACACAAATGGAATATCAAATATTGATGCAATTGTTAATCCTATTGCAAATTGACATATTATAAACATGTAGATATTTGATGAGTAAATTATGAGGATCCCAAATAATAGTTCTATTGTTAAGCAGGAAAAAAAACCTGCCCTACGACCCCAACTAACCATATTTAATATAAATGATTATTATTTAATAATTAATTACATATCAATAATGTGACCAAACAATAAATGACCACATAAACTTCCAAAATAAAACATTGATATAGTAAACTGAGTAATCCATGTTCTATCACAAACCATGTGAAACTATATACGAGGCTTATAAATAATGTAATCCTTTTTTATTAGTTTTTACTTTAGATGCAGCTGTAGATTTAAAAACATTTGTTTCAAATTCCCATTCAATGCATTTGAGATTAATTCGCTCATTAAACTGGTTTTGATAAGTGGCGCTGCAATTATTAATAGAAATGAGAGACAAGTTAGAATTATTAAAGTCTAATTTGTCATAGCTTGAAAATTTTATACATTTATGTTCTGGAATAGCTATCTGAAAAATGTATAAAAATCCAAAAAACGAGCATGGTAACGTAGCTGGTAAACAGATAAATGTTATTAATAACTTTTGGTAACGACCAAAGCTTCCTAATTCTGGTAAAATATCATCAAAATCTAACATTTCCGATTTTTATTTAAAAAATCCGCACTATCTCAAGGTCGATCTCCCGTAGTCTCGAATTATGATTAACTTTATACGTTTTGTCGCTTTACGAAAAGGTGAAAAAAGGTGAAATTGGATTTATTAGATAAATACCATTTTTCAATAATCAACCCAGCATAATACTTTGAGTTTATATAAATAGGAAGTATAAAAGTAACCAATTTTTTTAAAACTATTAATTAAATATGACATGCAGATATTTTATGCTATTCTAATTACATATACATTATATTTAGAGCAATGACATATAATATACCTAGACTGTCGATTCATTCATTAAAATGCATTTTTAAGCGTCGTTAAAAGCAAATCAGCTGGACCCGCCATTTTGGTAACAAAATTTTAAACGAGAGCCTAATTTATTACTATATCTGAAATTTTTCCTATGATACTTAACAAAGAATTTAAATCTACATCCATCTGCATTAATGGTACCATCAAGGATCCTATCCCACAAATATTCCAAGGCTATTCTCCCAAGAAGATATATATTTAGCAGACCAAATTCAAATAATTTAGAATTATATGACTAAATTATTAAAATTTATATTTTAAACATTTTTTTATACATAGAATATAAAGTATCTAATAAAGTTCCCTTACTTATCATTTGTTTTTCTTAAGACACAATATAATTGTTTTTCGTTTCTATTCTATTCTTAAAATATCTAATAAGGTAGATATATATAAATCATTGCTTAAATTTATGTTTATCTTAATATGAGACTTTACTTGCCCTTTTAATATTTCGAATCATACAAGGTGATAAACTGAATCATCAGGATTTTTATTATAAATATTCATATTGTTTGGCTTAAACATCTAAACATAAGTTAATTTTTTAAAGAATAGCTAAAAATTTACATTATGATATTAAATAAAAAAGTAAAATATAACTTAGAAATCCAGAATATTAGGCATCCTCTCCAATATTTTTCTTAAATAATAAATGTAAAGTTCTCTCAATTTTAAAGTTGTGATCCTGAATCTTAAAAATAGAGGTATTTCTTTTTTTTTAATATAAAGTAAATGTTTAATCTTCAGATTCTCAATAATATATATATTATAAAAAATATGTTATATTATTAAAGAAATACAATATGAATTTAATATTTTAATCAGTTGTGCTAATTGGATCATATTGATTTAATAGATATATCTTAGGATAAATTATGTATTGCAAATAAAAAATTATTTTTCCTTATATTATATTATCCAGTTTATTTTATCAATAAAAAAAATATAGATTAAATAAATTAAAACATTTCTAAGACTTCAGATAAATTTAGCTTAATCTTACCTTTTTATTTTTTGAAGAATTTTATAACTTAAAATTATGAGATTATTAATCTTATGATGAAAATCAATAATTGTTTATTATAAATTAATAAATAGAAATAATATTCATGAATTACAAAAAGGATTTATAGATATTATTTATATTTAAATATATATAGTTACAATATATATCTTTTGGTCAGCTTCTGACGAATGTTGGTATTTTCATTTTTATTTTGTTTATCTGCAAAATGATAAAATCTTATGTTTATGTAACGTTCAACTATTAATCTAATTAATTTTTGATAATGGCTAGATGTTTCTTCTTGATCTAGCATGTGATCAACCAGATTATCAAAAATATTTGTTTCTATCAGTTTTGAAATCACAAAAGATACTATTCGTTTAAATATACAAGGCCTTTTAATTTGATTATTATGTTCAAATGTACGGAAACCACTTTCAGCATATTGGCATAATCTAGATACATCTCTGGAAGGAATTATTAATCCCTGATTGTTTTTAACTTTAATTAAATTATAGCTCTCTTGATCTTTACAATTTTTAACAATCATTGCAGAAATACATATATAACACTTTACCTTATTTTTGGATATAAGTTTATGTTTGCGATGTTATCAACGAATGGCGATAATTTTTGGATATCTGGAACATCTATAAAAGAAAAATCTATAGCTTGTATATTGTCATCATCATTATCATTATCTTGATAATCTCTACAAAAAAGATTTGTATTATCGAGTGGAATACAATTACCTGTGCATAAGGCTCCCATCTTTGCTATCATAACGCCTCTTATAGCTGATCGTAATTGATAGGCAGAAGGGTTATTATTAAAACTTCCTCTGCTTCGTAAACAGCTAAAGAGCTCTAGATGATCTTGAGATGTTTTGTAGGTTAAAAGATATCTAAAATATGAAAAGCAATAAATATACAAAATATATATAATGCTAAATAAAATACTTGAGTTTGGAGTTAGGTCCTAATAATAATTCCCTCCCAATTCCCAAAATGCTTTTCATTGACAAGATTAAGCCTATAATGTAGACTTTTTTTTTGATCTATAAACGTATTTTCCACTTTCAAACCTTAAGGATTTTAAAGTTGTAATGCTCATCTCAAAAAAAATTTCATAATAAGAAAGTGAATTTGTAGTTAGTGGTTTTTTAAACCCTTTAGCAACTATGTTCCGTGTATTTAATAAGTCAAACATTCTATAAAAATATTATTTAAAATATTAATATATTTTAATATTGATTCTTAATAAAGTCAACTGTGCTCTCACAATTTTCAAACCCATCAATCTTTAGCTCTTTGCCAAAAGAATACCTTTTGCCACTGAGCTACTAAAAATTTGTACAGCAAGTTTAACCTTTAAAAAAATATATAAGTATTGTAGTATTTTTAATTGTACTTTCATTTTTTGTTTGTGATAGTCAATATGAGATTTATTAATTTTATTAGCAGCACGAAGTCCTTCTTTATCTTGTAAATTGTGAAGATTAGCTATATATTTCCAATTTATTATCTATTAATTTATAAAAATATATATTTTAATAGTAATTTAATTACTGATCCATTATTATAAATTAAAATTTTTTTATCACTGAGAAGATTTCTCAACAACTTAAAAAGAATACGTCCAACATAATGTAAACTTTTTCATCAAAATTTAATGCATGAGTAAAATAGGGCATGCATAGATCAGGATCTATAGATGCACCAAGTAGTTGGTACATTTTTATATTAGCCGCCAAACCATCACATACTATAACTTTACAGGAAGTGCCTGTATCGGTTTTCTCGATGCTTCTTTTGATAGAATTAAAAGATTTCAATCTGATTCGAAAGTAAAATTATTCACCACATTAAGCCTTGATGAAATGTCCATTCGTCATATTGTACAATGGGACAAAAAGGAGTACCATGGACATGTTGATTTGGGCAATGAAATCAAACCATCTGATTCTCTTCCTAAAGCCAAACAGGCTCTTTTTCTTATGGCAACATGTCTTAATGGAACATGGAAAATTCCCATAGAATACTTCTTAGTATCAAATACTACTGGAGATTTGCTTGCTAATATAGTCACTAATGCTCTTCATTTATTACATGATACAGGCACTTCCTGTAAAGTTATAGTATGTGATGGTTTGGCGGCTAATATAAAAATGTACCAACTACTTGGTGCATCTATAGATCCTGATCTATGCATACCCTATTTTACTCATGCATTAAATTTTGATGAAAAAGTCTACATTATGTTGGACGTATTCCTTTTAAGTTGTTGAGAAATCTTCTCAGTGATAAAAAAATTTTAATTTATAATAATGGATCAGTAATTAAATTACTATTAAAATATATATTTTTATAAATTAATAGATAATAAATTGGAAATATATAGCTAATCTTCACAATTTACAAGATATAGAAGGACTTCGTGCTGCTAATAAAATTAATAAATCTCATATTGACTATCACAAACAAAAATTGAAAATACAATTAAAAATACTACAATACTTATATTTTTTTATAAGGTTAAATTGCTGTACAAGTTTTTAGTAGCTCAGTGGCAAAAGGTATTCTTTTGGAACAAGAGCTAAAGATTGATGGGTTTGAAAATTGTGAGAGCACAGTTGACTTTATTAAAATGATTGATCAGTATTAAAATATATTAATATTTTTATAGAATGTTTGACTTTTTAAATACACGGAACATAGTTGCTAAAGGGTTTAAAAAACCACTAACTACAAATTCACTTTCTTATTATGAAAATTTTTTTGAGATGAGCATTACAACTTTAAAATCCTTAAGGTTTGAAAGTGGAAAATACATTTATAGATCAAAAAAAAAGTCTACATTATAGGCTTAATCTTGTCAATGAAAAGCATTTTGGGAATTGGGAGGGAATTATTATTAGGACCTAACCCCAAACTCAAGTATTTTATTTAGCATTATATATATTTTGTATATTTATTGCTTTTCATATTTTAGATATTTTTAAACCTACAAAACATCTCAAGATCATCTAGAGCTCTTCTTTAGCTGTTTACAAAGCAGAGGAGGTTTTAATAATAACCCTTCTGCCTATCAATTACGATCAGCTATAAGAGGCGTTATGATAGCAAAGATGGGAGCCTTATGCACAGGTAATTGTATTCCACTCGATAATACAAATCTTTTTTGTGGAGATTATCAAGATAATGATAATGATGACAATATACAAGCTATAGATTTTTCTTTTATAGATGTTCCAGATATCCAAAAATTATCGCCATTTGTTGATAACATCGCAAACGTAATCTTATATCCAAAAATAAGGTAAAGTGTTATATATGTATTTCTGCAATGATTGTTAAAAATTGTAAAGATCAAGAGAGCTATAATTTAATTAAAGTTAAAAACAAACAGGGATTAATAATTCCTTCCAGAGATGTATCTAGATTATGCCAATATGCTGAAAGTGGTTTCCGTACATTTGAACATAATAATCAAATTAAAAGGCCTTGTATATTTAAACGAATAGTATCTTTTGTGATTTCAAAACTGATAGAAACAAATATTTTTGATAATCTGGTTGATCACATGCTAGATCAAGAAGAAACATCTAGCCATTATCAAAAATTAATTAGATTAATAGTTGAACGTTACATAAACATAAGATTTTATCATTTTGCAGATAAACAAAATAAAAATACCAACATTCGTCAGAAGCTGACCAAAACCATTCTATTTAAAGGACAATAAATATATCTATATAATCTTTTTTAATTTAAATGATATTAGATATATATTGTAACTATATATATTTAAATATAAATAATATCTATATATATTTAAATATAAATAATATCTATAAATCCTATTTGTAATTCATGAATATTATTTCTATTTATTAATTTATAATAAACAATTATTGATTTTCATCATAAGATTAATAATCTCATAATTTTAAGTTATAAAATTCTTCAAAAAATAAAAAGGTAAGATTAAGCTAAATTTATCTGAAGTCTTAGAAATGTTTTAATTTATTTAATCTATATTTTTTTTATTGATAAAATAAACTGGATAATATAATATAAGGAAAAATAATTTTTTATTTGCCATAATTTATCCTAAGATATATCTATTAAATCAATATGATCCAATTAGCACAACTGATTAAAATATTAAATTCATATTGTATTTCTTTAATAATGTAACATATTTTTTATAATATATATATTATTGAGAATCTGAAGATTAAACATTTACTTTATAATAAAAAAAGGAAATACCTGTATTTTTAAGATTCAGGATCACAACTTTAAAATTGAGAGAACTTTACATTTATTATTTAAGAAAAATATTGGAGAGGATGCCTAATATTCTGGATTTCTAAGTTATATTTTACTTTTTTATTAATATCATAATGTAAATTTTTAGCTATTCTTTAAAAAATTAACTTATGTTTAGATGTTTAAGCCAAACAATATGAATATTTATAATAAAAATCCTGATGATTCAGTTTATCACCTTGTATGATTCGAAATATTAAAAGGGCAAGTAAAGTCTCATATTAAGATAAACATAAATTTAAGCAATGATTTATATATATCTACCTTATTAGATATTTTAAGAATAGAATAGAAACGAAAAACAATTATATTGTGTCTTAAGAAAAACAAATGATAAGTAAGGGAACTTTATTAGATACTTTATATTCTATGTATAAAAAAATGTTTAAAATATAAATTTTAATAATTTAGTCATATAATTCTAAATTATTTGAATTTGGTCTGCTAAATATATATCTTCTTGGGAGAATAGCCTTGGAATATTTGTGGGATAGGATCCTTGATGGTACCATTAATGCAGATGGATGTAGATTTAAATTCTTTGTTAAGTATCATAGGAAAAATTTCAGATATAGTAATAAATTAGGCTCTCGTTTAAAATTTTAATAATGATTTCTATTACCAAAATGTCGGCTCCAGCTGATTTACTTTTAAAGGCGCTTAAAAATGCATTAATGAATGAATCGTCAGTCTAGGTATATTATATGTCATTGATTTAGAGAGTATATAAAGATGCACATTCTATTATCAATCAGAAGGGTCATATATCCTACCCTTACCAAATATAATTTTTATATATAAATTAATTTAATATTAAATACATTTATTAAATATTTAAATTATATTATTTACTTTATTAAATTATATATATTATCAATTATATATTTAAATTTCTAATAATTTGTTATATCAATTAATTTAATATTAATTATATAAATTATCAAACCTGCCTCATTTGTAATTACCGATTGAAATTTATTGGAGGCCATGTTTTAATTTAATATTAATATTTTAAATTCTCTCGCTTCAATGTATATGTCATTGTTTTTTATATATAAAATTATTTACAAAATGAACTGATATAACAAAAACGAAAAAATACTTTTAGTTCGAAGGTTGTATTAAACGAATTTAAGCTTAGATTATTTTCCAAGATCTTAATAAATAATGTGCCAATTGTCACCTATAAGACTGTTATTAATATATGCAACTATTAAATATAAATATATTTTCAATCCATGCTATACCTATCAATAATCTTTTTCAATAAAAACTTGCCAATTTAATGTACACATTTTTTTAAGAATGATGAATAGGAAATATGTATCTATTGGCCTTGTATTTCTGATTCAAGCGTGTTACACTTATTTTTTATTTTTATCAAGATACATTAGTCATTGTATTTTTTATGCCGAGATCATGTAAAATAATAAAATAAAAAATTTCCTTAAATATTATAATATTACTTTTTATTTATAAAAAATTTGGTTAACTAACAGGTGTTTACAATCATTTATCCATAAAATTGGAATAGTATTGAAAATATTTGAAATATAATGAGTTTTCAATGGACATTGGTCGCCGGGTTTTTATATATTGAGATTGCTCTCGTGACTCTTTTTTTGATGCCATGGATAAAACCTAGAAGGTAACATTCCTTATTCTAAATTATATATCTGTTAAATAATTCAATTTATAGATGCAAAGGTGTGTATAATTTTTTATTAGAAACATGTTACCTAAAAAAAATACTATATTTAGCATATCATTTTTATGATTATATTCCTCATTTTGAAATTATATCTTTTGTGATTAATTTTTAACTTAGTGAAGTGAAGCAAATTTAATTTTTTTTATCCAGCCCTCAGCCATAGATTACCATTATTTACTAATAAGGAATTTATATCCTTAGCAGTATACTCTACCTTTGATAGAAATCTAACATATACTATACAAAATTTTTCAATTATGTTTAGTCTTTACTTAGGCATATCATAAACTATAAGTGTAATAGCCAATTTTTAGAGTCAAACAACGCGAGCTCATTTTTTTCTATAAAATATTATATTTATCTTAAAAATTACGTTTGAATTCACATTTGTTTGCCAAAAAATAATATAAATTTTGCTTCTCTGTATAATTTTTTTTCCAAAGTAGATTAAAATTTTTAAAATCATAATTACTAGTGGGTAATATCTTTATCAGTCTATTATACTATACTTTTTAATTTAATTAATTATTATTTGTACCTGCTCCCAAATTTCTTCAGATTATTACTTAATATTTTATTTTTATATAATTATTTTTAGATGGCAAAAGATATTCAAATCGCGATTGTTGAAAGCTTTGAACTTACATTCCCAATTATATTTTAGTGGATTTATTATCATCTTAATCCTCCTTTTTTCAGGTTCACTTAATCAATATTAATAATACATTGTGTTCCTCTACACATGCTTAATTATCAGTTAATTTTTGCTAGGTAAATGATTTTTTAATATTAAATTATGATATCCAGCACTGTTCTGCCGAATATTAAAAGGGCTCGCTAAAAATAATTAGCTAATTTTAATTTCCTTTATTACTTTTTGTTCATAAATATACACTTTATAGCTCAGTTTCCTTTGTAAATTTTAATATATTTAATAATAATATTAATATTTCACATATTTTTTTAGAAAAAAATATTCATATATTTATTTTCAAAGCTATCAATAATCATTACATATGCATTTAATTGCTTCACTTTTAATTTTAAGTGAAACCTATTTTAAAATTCAATTTTTTATTAAAATTCATATACAAATATGATAAAATATTATTATTTAAAAATTAACTTTATAATATAGAGAATATAATATATATTTTTTTTAAAAAAATGTTTTTTTTCTTCTTTTTATAAAAATATACATTTGTATCAATCTTCTTTTTTTTTTAATTTGTAAGCTCTCTGTATGTGGGGAATACTTTAAATATTAATCTCGCAATGTAAAGCTTATTTTAAAAATAAACGTCAATATTTAACTACTAAACAAATATTCTGCCAACATATGTCAAACAAAATAAATTGTTGACGCCTTTCAACAACAAAATTATTTTTATAAAGGGCTTAATCATGCTCATTTTAGCTCAACTCAGATGTTATACTATAATTAGGGATCGGAACAAAGGCGTTTCCGTGTTCCGTTCCCTTTCTAGCCCATATAAATAGTATCACTTTTCGATACCCTTCCAAGGCGTTTTTTTCCACGCCCCTCCCCTGCTCATAATAAATAAAATCGACCAAATTTTCTTTTATATAAAGACGCTGTTAGAGAATCCTATAAATACCAAACCACTGTGGGCATCGATCCAACTATCGCTGGCGTGGGGTCGGAAAATCAGCTGAGAATGAAGCTATTTCGAGCTCAACGAAATTTCTACATCTCCGGGTTCGCCCTTTTTCTTTGGCTGTAAGTTTTTTTTAGACAATTATTTTATAAATTATCTATTAATATCACAAAATTTTATAGTATAAATCACGACGTGCTAGTAATTTTTTTTAAGATTTTGACAGATATTTTAGTTTAAAAGGGCCTGGGGTATGTTGATTCCTCGAAATTTGTAAGAGGAAGCTCAGCCTCTTCGATTATTTGATCTAGTGCCGGAGGTTCTGTTTCCGGTTTCAAACTTTGACTAGTTTTTTTAACAGAGGATATTCTTCCAAAATAAAATTCTTCTTACCAATTTGTTACATACATAAAATTAATAATTTTAGACACTATATTTAGTGTTCCGTAATGGGATAAAAAAATCTCCCCTGAACCTAAAACGTAGGCAACGGATGGTTTACCATAGATTATTCAAAAAAATATTTACATTAGAACTTCTAATGACTCAATATTGATGAATAACCAAGAGCCCTTCCCGTAAAATACATGGGAACCTGAACCAAAACCGGGTTTGAAATTTTCTAGTATCCGGTTTGGAAATTTGAGGGACCAAAATCGGGTTTAACCACTCAAACCCGGGGTATTTTGGGTGTTTAAAAATCTCGCTCCTAATGTTCGAGCTGACCAAATTCTCGCAAGTTCAAGAAAATAATTTCCGAATCAAAATTTGGTTCAGAACCCTTGCTTTCTGCTCCAAGTTCCACACTATAGAATGCCAATTTGATTGATCTTATTATATTTTAGTAAAATTAGTTGGTCAAACCTTTTATATGCTTCAATTTAGTAATAATGTACAACATTTTAACATTGTACAGTATCATGCTAAACTTAAAAGTATAGTATATATATAACCCTGAAACGAAATATTTGTTATTCGAAATTCGATTCATATTTTACGAATACGGATAACACAATTATTCGGTTCGAAATTTCGAATCGAATATGAATAATGAGGGAAAATATTCGTCGAATAGTAAACCTTTTTTATTCGATTCGAATTATTTGTATTATTCAAAATTATTCGAAATTATTTGTTTATATAAATATTTCATAATTTTTCATATTTTATTTTTTGCGTTAATATTCGTAAATCGTAAGTAAATAATTAAAAAAAAGAAGAAGTAATTAAATTTTCCTAGTGGATATCATTTCGTTTTACTTTATTTTATTTCCTATTTTTTATATATATATATAAAGGGAAACGCCCCAACAAAGTAAATTAAAAAAAATATAATTATTTTTAATTTTGATGATCAGATTTAAAAAATTCCAGCTAAATAAAGAATTCCCAATAATGCCTTGAATTCTGTTACATCAACTTCTTCAGTAGAACTTTCATATAGGTCAGTATAGTTTTTGTTTGGTATGATAAATAATCTCTTCAACCATTTTAGCATTTTCTGGAGTGCTTCTCATATTCTTTTACTCCTGGCGGATGAATAACTAAAATTTTGTTGACGAGTTCTTTTTCTTTGATTAGGGAAATCCTTTTTCCCATTTAGCTAACCCTTTTTTTAAGCTAATTTTAAAGAGAAATATACTATGATACCGAAATAATATTTTCTTCATCATCTAATTCTGATTGTGTATCATGATTCACTCTACAAAAAAACGAATCGTATCGTATATTAATCATATTCGGATTTTCGGATCGAATAATTGCGCTATTCGTATTCATATAAATAATATAATCATTATTCGATTCGATTCGATTCGAAAATTTTTCTGAAGCTTATAAAAAAAATAAATTATTTTTTTGCAAGAAAAAATTACAAATGTATTTGCATCTGTATTATTAATAATGTGATTGAACTGTAATTAATAAAATAATTATCAGTATCATTGGAATAAGTATAATATTATTTTATTATGTATTTAATTTAACCTGAACGTGATAATTAAGCACCAAGCCCCATAATGTTATATACGAACACACTGAAAATGATAAAATATGAATGATGTTGATTTTAGTATTGGATAAAAATAAAACAGGATGGAAAGAAATTTACAAACTAGACATGTTTTTCGAATAAATATTTAAAATTTATTTTTAAAAATATAAAAAATAATCAATTACTGTCTTTCAAAATTATTATTTATATAATAAAAACGTTAAAATGCTAAAAAGTAATTGTGCCGGAGAAATTAAAAAATTGCGGTAGATTTTTGCGGGAGATTTCCAATTGCGGTAGTTTTGCTGGAGTGAGATGTTTGCGTGTAAACTAAAAAATTTCGGGAGTCTCCCGTTGATGGGGGGAGACATGGCAACCCTGATTATGAATCGGTTACGCGTTATCAAATTGAAATTGATGACAATGACTAGTCAGAACAAGATGTGTATGCTCAATCTACTGCAAACCATAATAATCCCTTCTGGTCCAAGAAATACTTAACAACCAGCATTAGAATTTGATAAAATATCAGGTCCAATATCATCCTTTAAAACGAACCCATTGTGTCCATCAGATATATATATATATAATTTATTAATGATTCTCTAATAAATACAATTACATTCAATACAAATTTGTATGCCCAACAAAAAAAATAGATATCAACCAACTACTCCCACAGAAAGAGAAAAAATAGACCATTTAAAGTCTTTATATGAAATTTCGCTAAGGTGGCGAAAATAGTGGCTTGCCAATATTTCTTTGGCTGTTAGATGAGGCTATTATCAATTCATTCATAATCTACGATATTCTTACAGACAATGAACTCTCCTCATCGAAAGAAATTCCGAAGACAAATAATTGCTAGCCAATTGGCACACAAAAATATCGATAGGGATGATAATATTCAGAATGATAATAACTATATATCAATGCAAAAAAATAAATAATAATCCTTATATCCTTCTAGAAATAAGGCTAAAAAAAACTCAGCTATCAACCTCTGACAGGAACCTCCCGGTGGTCGTGCAAATCATGCAACGTTCCACTATGTTTAAATAAAAAATAGAAACTGTTTCGATAGGTTGTCAATGTTATGAATTTGTAACCACCATTGAGCGCCGCCATTTTACTAAATATCGTGTTGCATCATATTAATTTTATGAGGGAACTTAAAGTGTTAAAGTAGGTAGGATAGGTGTCACCACAGATATGTTCGGTAAAATCGAAAAAGGGTCTTGTATAATATTTATTAAAGTCGTCAAATTATCCTGGTAAAAAAAAATAAATAAAGTGTTGTTAAACGGCTCATTAACTCGATATTTTAGCCAAAGAAATATTGCCGAAGGTTCCAGATTTCGCTAATAGATGTCTAGATCTTTGTGCCATCTATGATAAAAATCTCCAGGCTTGAGTAATATTTTTCTGGATAAAATATTGAGTTAGCTGTTTTTAAAAATCGGCTAAAAATCGAGCCATTTAACAAGACTACTCAGTTGTCTTTCAGATACCATCATACATCCGAATCACAACTTCGTCAATTCCCTTCGACCATTATATAAGGGCTATTCCATCTTATGGATGTGTCTAACTTGGGGATAGTAAGAGAGAGAGCACGCACACACATCTCATAATATTTGTCTTTATAAAAGAATTGCGATTAGCCCTTAAATGATTGTTCTTAATGTTAACAAGCATCTGCTTTCTTGAGTATTTCTTGTATACTACTAATCTAAAGTGCATAATCAACTTTACAGCGCCCTACCGATGAATCATTTTTAGGGGTTGACCTGCCACTTTACATTGTACCAATTTACTGATTCACATTCTGGTGAAAATGTATATTTGGGAGTTTTCTACTAAAATTATAATATCTATATTAGTAACATAGAAATTACTTGTGATGATGTAAGTTTAAATTCAACTTTCAAAAAAAAAAAATTCTTTGTTATAAAACACCCAACTTGTAAAATTTTACATGCGCGATGTTTTGCGCACACCTACTCAATTTAAGTGGTACAAGAAATACTATAGGAAAGTAGACATTGTCAAAATTAAGAAAAATCGTTATGGCTATTTCATAATTCTTCTGTAAAGACAAATATTATGAAGAATGTATGGTATACATTACGTTCCCCGATGAAATATCTAAAAATTAAAATTAGACACCTCCATAATATGGAATAGCTCTTATATAATGCTCGAAAGTGCTAGAGCCATTGACGAAGTTGTGACTCGGATATATGATGATATATCTGATATTAGAAGAAGGACTACTGAGTGATTACCCAGTATGATTGAACGGCTTTAATAAATTATTTTTTATTAAACCGAACATATTTGTGGTGACACGTATCCTACTCTAAATCTTGCCATCCCCTTTTTATGTTTCTTTAATGAAACATTTAAATTCACATGACCGCGATTTCATAAACAGTATTATCGGCAGTGCTAATGACAAAAATAGGGAATTATTATAACCTAACAAATATTGAAACCATAATATCAACCATATTTAGATCCTAGACTAAGAGTTATTTTATGATCAGTTACCTGCTTCAAAAGTAAAATATATATTATCGATACAACAACAATTAAACCGATAGTATAATTTTATAGAATTTTTAAACAAAATATCACCTCATCTCATAAATATATGAGATTGAAACATATCTTAATGAATTAAGAATCACTTCTAATAAGAGTCAGCTAGAATGGTGGGGATTGCATGGGGATCGTTTTCCCGGGTCGCCGAGAATGGCAGCTGATATATTGTCCATTCAGGGATCTTCGGCTTTATGTGAGCGGTTATTCTCAATAGGGACAAATATGATAATGAAGAATAGAATTATCTTAGAAGGAAGAAACCATTAGAAAGACTTTATGCTTGAAAAACTGGTTATCGTCAAATTCGATTCTACCATAATTATATATTTTTTTAATGTATTATATTAATGATGTTTTTAAAATGAGATCATTGTACCTTTTTAGAAAATTTGAATAAAATTTGAATATTAGATTGAAGAAATAATTTAGGTATCAATATTAAGCAATTTCTAATTCTAAAAATCGGGTCTTTTTGGCCAATTAGTTATGAATAATAGAATTATTCGAATCAAATACGAATAATAGAATTATTCGATTCGTTGTAAACTCATGTATATATTAATTTAATTATGCCTTATATTTTTTTTTAAGTTCTAAATGGCTATGCGATAAGTTTAAAACGATTGCCCTTTCAAGGGGTGGAATTCTGTTATATAGCAATTATTTTTTGACAATATATATATGATATAATTTATAATGTCGTGCACAGGGTTTTGAGGCGCCTGATAACACTCATCACTTATCAAGCATACCTGGAAGCCACTACAGAATCTTCGATGAAGCAGGCTCTAAGTGCCACGCAAGCGGCTAACAAGCTCATATCCGAGAGACCTAATAGAAGGAAAATGGTTTTTTTTTTAATTAAAAGAATTTATTTTATTTTGTAGATATACCATTTTTTTTATAAAAAATTATAATTTCAAAAGGGTCCTCGATGTTATGTCGGAATCCTTTTAAATTTTTTTGTTTTGTTTTTACATCATTCAGTCAATACATACAAGCCAATAAAAATCGAATAGAAATAATTCGCAATCAGATGTTTTTTGAAGTATCATTCGGTCAAATGATTAGTCTCCATTTTTTGCATTTCTCGCCATTATTTAACAAAAATATTATTTGTTTTTTTAAAACATGTACCTTTTTTTTTATTTATCAAAAAAAATTATTTGAATTCTTATATCTTTATCGTTCAGGATAAATTCTCAACTTGATTTCGATCAAGGTCAGATTAGAAACTCTACTCTATACTTTTTTTACGATGATTATTATATATATCACAAATTCTCCAATTTTCAAGGATGCCATATCTAAATTGAAATTCTAATTTCCTTTAACTCCTCCCCCTTCTATCCTCCGCCAATCATGGTCCAGGATTTCTAAAATCCTTTTTTACCCTATCTTGATTGATCATTATCTTTTTATTCTCTAAATTTTTCGTATGGTATAATTTAAAAAAAAATTAGATGGGAGGTGACGACGATAGCGGAGAGGAGGAATTGGACGACGCGGAAGCCGAAATGATGAGAATCAAGGATGAGCTAGATAATACTAAAAGAGGTTTTTTTTAAAAAAATAAAATAAATTCAAAATATATCAATTTAACCATTTTTCAACCTGTAAAAGAAATCATTTTTAAAAAACCAGTTTCCTTAACTCCTCGAGGTTTTTCAAAATATTTTTGAGAATACGAAATTTTTCAGGATTTGATTTTTAAAAGTTACTCAATATCCTTTGGCAAAAACTTCTTTTTTTTTTACAAAAAAATTTTGCTTTAAACTTGATTACAAATTTGTCAACTTATCATTTTTAAAAATAAAAACAACTTAACTTCGTGGAAAGCGAATGATATTTTTTAAATGTTTAAAAGGTAAAGATGTTATATAATATATTTTTTGCAAAAAATTTTACAATATTTATAAAATTAGTAAATAAACCCACTCTATTTTTGTCATAAAATGCAGGAAAAAATAATGAAGTTAGTTAACATGATAGAGAGAGGGTGTATGGGATGGCGGGTGTAGGAGGAAATGGAGGCAGAGTTGTCGAGCTCGAATTCAAGTTCAGGAATTTAAAATTGTTTGGTTGGACATTTTGAGACCACGGGTGAAACACAGATCGATTTGTGGGCAACCCATCGAACCTATGGCATTATGAACCCGGGGCTGGTTCGGTCATCTTTTAGAAAATCGGTTTCGATTAAGTCCCCGTTATCAAAATAACCGCTAATAGGGTTTAGAATTTCTGAACCCGAATTCGGGTTCACAACCCTGAATGGAGGAATACGATGGTAAATTGGGAAAGGTTGAGGGAGGAAGAAAGATAGTCAGAGGATCCTTATAAAAAAAATACATATTTCTAAAGGGGAATTGCTAGATTTTAGCATTCTAATTGGTTGTTGGGAGAAACCATTCAAATAAAATCACCTGATTTATCCGAATTCCTATTTCGGTTTTATGCCCAAATCGCTAATTTTTCAGTTTCTCCTTTTTTTTAATCGTTAGAAACCTCGAAACATCCGGTTTAAGTTGGCCGAATATCTTCCCAATAACCCCCCCCCCCGATGGAGTTCCATTTGGCCGCCTTCTTAAGGTTGGCACTACGATCTAGAAAAATTTGCTGAAATTATATTAAGGAAAGACTATACACTGAAGTTAATTTACCACGCGCCATTACATAATAGTTTATTAAAGATCGTTTTATCACCATCGTATATATTATTTCTTGCAGAACTCGAGATAACATCTGGCGACTTGGAAGTCATGAAAAAGCAAGCCCAATCGGTCAACACCGAATACGATAGATTACTGACGGAACACGCTCAATTACAAGTTAATTTACATAGTATTTATACTACGTGTACCTTTTTTTCTAAGTTTTTTTGAGATTTATAATTTTATAATTAGAGGGGTGAGCGGCCAAGACCCTATCCGGGTTCGGTGGGTATTTGATATTCGAACGGATATCAGTCGATGTCGGTTCTGTTTAATTGACATCAACTCGGATTGGTCTCTAGAAAGTTGTATCGGTTTGTACATCGGGATTAATTTGTATTTTATGCGTGATATTTATTTTAAAAAAATAAATAAATTTAGAAAAAAATTGAAAGAAAGGATTCTGGCAACAAGAAGAGTAATTAAAGTTTTCGCATAACAAAAACTCTTATCATTCTTATATTCATTTCGCAATTGAATATTTTACATTAATAGCATTAATTTTCTTCATTATTATAATATTTAAAAAAAATATATATATTACGTGTCAGATAATTATTTATTATTTTTTTGAAATTAGCTTAAAATATTGTGATTTTGTATTTTTAATGGGTATCATATAATTTTGCTGTCCATAATTATTTTAAAAGATTATTAGTTGTATTATATATTATATTTTTAAATATTAAACCAATTAATATAATTGTAAAACGAAATAAATCTTATTAAATAAAATGTACAAAAATTAATGTGAAGAATAGCTCAAACCACCTGAAAGAATTTTTTTTTAATTGGATGAAATAGTGAGTTAGAATTACAGGTTAGCGAGATATAGGTTAGGGAGCATTTAATAAAATTTCATCATATTTTAAAAAATAACCTGTTAAATCTGCAGGTTACGTTATTATAAATAGACTAATAATCTAATAGAAATTTAAATAAATCAACGGTCTTAAAGGCAATTTCATTGGACCTAGATCAGAAATAGTCGCTTCTGATAATTTAGTTGTTATGGCGCAAAGTGCAATATATAAATCCACTCTTATAATAAATATTTTAATGAATGTTAGGCTACATCATAGGAAGCAACAGACGCTTGCGAATAAAATGGCCCAATTTTAATTGCTTTGTTAGGAAAGCCTTAGATTTGAAACGATATATAGATTGGCATTTGAATAAAATTATTTACTAGTTAAAATAATTAAAAACGCCCTCAAAAAATACTGTTATCAGTGAATAAATTTATACCACAATTAGACGGGGTTAATAAGACAATTATTCGAGAGAGACCTTTGTAGACTTGGGGTGAGGTAGTGTGATTGATGACACGTGACCCATAATCTGGACGAAGGGTCCTAAACGTTGTCGCGTTTTATTAATTACTTTGTTGTTGAATCAGAACACCTGATCACGTTTAGAAAAATTTCGTCTCATTTTGAGAAGTAAATCAAAAATTTAAGTTTATCACTTTATTAAATTCCTTATAAAAGTTATATATATATATTTTTTTGTTTTTTCTCAAGATTAAGCTGCTATATAAGTGTGTCGTTTTGGGATATAGAATTCACTGGGATTTGGAATATCTCAGTTTCAAAACAACGTCACCCTTTCGCCGATATCTTTCTTTCCTTTCTTTCTCTCTTTCCTTATTTCAAGAGAGGAATATTAAACTGGTTTATAAAATGCGTTACATTTCAAAGTTGGCACAAGATTAACAGATGTTTTTTTGGTGCACCGACACGACCAGCTAGGAACGTTATCAGCACTTAAAAAAATATGTTATCAAAAAACAAAAATAAATATTTACAAATCGTAGTAAAGTATCCGATTTTAACGCACATTTAAATTATCGTCGATATTCCAAGGTGTCTATACATTAAAAAAAAAATTAGCTCCCAATTCTGAAATTACACCCATTTATGTATATTTGTGCTAACCTATCCTGGTTTGACATACCCCACCCCCTTTTTCCTGAGGCTACAATATAATAACTGCATTTCTTCCATTTGGGATTATTAGTCGATTCACTTTAACCAATATTTTTCTTTAATTTTATGGACGGCTTCATTTTTTTTTACACATCTGTGGGAGCCTTATTGCAATAGAGTAATCACTCTATTATTTGTCAATGTTAGAAAAGAAGTCGCGGAGGGATTTAGAATTTTAATTTACTGTATATTTTCACAAATGAATACTTTATAGAATTAATTATAAAAAAACGTGTTCAAAACAATTAACGATGTCTTTTTAACGATTAATTTTTTAAATTATTATATTATATATTTTTAATTTAAGATATTATAAATATTCTATTACAAAAAAATATAATTTGAATCAATAATTGTATAAGGTTATATTAATGAAAGTAATCGCAAATATAAAATATATATTTCTTTTTTAATAAAAAAATAATATAATAATTTTCATAAATATTATACGGATAAATGATGTGAGGTATTATGTATTTTTTTTATTTTAACTATCGACAAAATTTTATACGCCAAATGCAGTTCTCGAGAATATTTCCCAGAGTCCAAAATTCGCGGGTATTTTACATTTCCGGCCTAAATTCCGTTATATAAGAGTCAAAAAATAATCCGCCCTTTTAGAACACATCTTGACCCTGGAATATTGGGTGAATCTATTTTGTAACGCCAACCATTTGGTCGCGTTCAGACGTTTATAATACGTATCGCGGACGTCGTTAATATCATTATACGCGAATCTTTTGTATTTTCGATATTTGCCCATTCTGCCATCTATTTTAATGTAATCTATCATTTCGCCGCAATTAATGTGGGCTCGCAAAGAAAAATTGGAAATCGATTTTCGTATAGTCGAGTATTTGGGGCAGATTGGGTAGCCTTTTAAAGATTCTGCATATTTTTTTGGAATTGTAGCTCTAATCTCTTTGATGGACGTTTTCGAATTTGACCAATAGAAATTGGGTACGTGGTTACTGTACACGGAATTTAAGGTATGCCTGACCCTCATTTTGATTTGATTTATTCGCTGCGCATCATCTTCGTGCCGACATTTAAACTCTTCATCTTGGTTAGAGAATCCATTTCGATTATAAGCATCATACGATAATTCGCGAACATTGTACGCGCACATACATTTATTATCTTTTTTATGATGATTTTGTAAATATTCGCCATCGTTATCGTTTATCAAGCTTATTCGGCAACTATCACCGTTGTTGTAACCAGACATTTTATCATGATTTAGTTTAGAACTTTGACTCAGCGACTTGTTGAAATTTTTTATACAAAATAGCATAGCTGATTGAAGTTGAGGATGCTTTTGGATGCTTTTGCACGTTTTTTGATAGAGATTCGCGTTTAGAGAGTACAAAGAGCTAAAAATGAATTTGAAAAACTTGGACCAACTCCTCAAAGTTTTGGTATTGAACACCCATATTCCAGCAAAAATTCCGGAGAAGAGGGAGAAAAAGAGGATTAAACTGAGATGGTGAAATCCACCGGAGTTATTTATATACGTCACGAGTTTTAGATTTAATTTCCCGATATCTTGATTGCTAGTTGATGATATATCTAATGTTTTGTAGTATAATTTTTCGGTCGGGAAAGTTACTATGATAATATAGTCATATTTCAGAATTTTAGCGTCACGCTGGTGGTCCTCGGTTTTATTCAATATTTGTTTGATCGTTTTAATGATGGTCATATTATCGTGAATATTTGTCGTTGCTTTAATGATAAAACAGCTGTTATTGAATTTATCTCGCCACGTTGCGCTTGGAGGAGAATCGCCTACCTTTCTATCGTTTCTACCAGTCGTATGATTGCACGTGCCATTATTCGAGATAATAAACCGTAAATCATCATTTTTACTAGCAAATTTTTTATTAAACGGAGTAATGATGGAGTCTGCGCACTCAAGGTCAATGTCACATTTCGTAATATTATTTTCGAGTTTCTCGAAGTCAAGGGCAGCATTCGTAGGTAACAAGGTTACGTTAAAATTTTCCGGCATATTTTTGTCGATTCGAGCTGCCCAAAAATAATCGTGAAATATTACGTTGATGACCAATACTATCTTGAACAAAAGGTAGAGAACGGCGAATAGGGAAGTCTTGAAGCTTAACCGCTCAAGTTTGAGAGCATTAGAATGCGATATTTTGATAACTTTTTTGAGTCTTTGTATCGACACGATTCCCATGAATATGAATACGGATCCTATGACCAAGCTGACCAGAGTGGGCATCAGATACAGCATATTATAAAATGTCCTGTCATCGCGATCGCTGTCAACCCTAATGTTTAGCGTTCTTAAAAGAACAACTGGAAAATCGTCTCTAAGAGTACAATAAAATAAACACGGTAATTGTGATCCATCTCGCAGAACGTTTATATTCTCTTCGAAATTTCCTAGCCCTGGTTTTAAAACAAAGAAATGTTCGCATACATCGATAACTGAGAGATTGGCGTTTAATAAATTTAATTCTAGTTTCGGCGTATAATTATCAAGTTCCGGTATTTTATTTTTATTCTGGTTCAATATTTTCGTAATACCGGTTACGTCTTCGCCATTCCTATCTGGTGTGAGCAACAACAACGCGATGGTAAATATCGCGGGAGTTATCCAACACACCAAATGAAACAATAGATTGAGGTTACGAATAGCCTCGTGGCCCCATTTTTTGACCGCGGCTAGAAACCAAGATATCGTTAATACGACCCACCAGAGCGAGGCTGCGCCTTCGAAGTAATACAGCAACACCAATAGAGTGGTGCTGGAATTTATTTGGAGACAGGATACGTTTGAACCGTTTTTGTTGCTGAGGGTGGCATGTAGATTGGTCGAGAACGAACCCTGGGAAGCGAGCCACGTTGCTCTATCGGAAGAGCTAAAGATCGCGCTGTCTACCTGACCCATAACTGACCACGATGAGTTTATCGGGGATGACATGAACATAAATTTTCGGATCAAATACGCGATCGAATAAACCCAGTAACAACCGGAGTAGTAGATTATAGGCTTCTCTGGGTACTTGAATCGGGAGGTGTCCAAGCAATAAGTGAATATGAGTAGAATGGTCACGAAAAAGCATAAAATCGCTAGCAAAGTCATCCATATTTCGTATAGCAAACGCTCATTTTTGCGATCGTCACTTTTGAAATGCAAGAGGATTACCCTTACTTTGATTAACGATATGGTGGATTCATTTACAGTTTGATTAGAACCTTTTAATTTTTTTATTAAAAAAATTATATGAAAATAAAATTAAAAATGATATTATTGTATTTATTAATATCTGCCACAATAGACAATTAAAGGAAGGGGATGCCAGCGTTGCCCGTCCCGCCCCCCGTGCAGATCCCCGTCCGAGCACGCTTGACTTTGCGTTTTACAGTTAGCGCGAATTTGCGGCGAAGTATACAACCATATGCTGTATTTTTATACATTTCGCCGCTAATTCAAGCTAACTATGTATGCAAGGATGAAAGCTATCCTTTAAAAATAATTTCGGTTCGGACCAGGTATGTCTTAAATTTTTAAATATGATATTCGATATATTTAGGTCGGGTTTTTCGGGACAAATGAGAAAAAAAAATTGTTCGCTAATCCAGCCGGGTCGGATAAATTTAAAAAAAAAAAATTTCGGGCCGGTTTTGAAAAATTAGGCCACATTGTAGATCGCTAAATTTGATTAATTTATAACATTTTAAAATAAAGGCCAAGAAGTGGATCATTGAATATAAATGCTAATTATATATAGTGATTACTATCATTTTGATTGCTAGGAATATGCTGACTACTATAGTTTCTTGGATGCCAACTTTCTGCCTTGATAGCACTTGTAGTATTCTAATAAACAAGCACAAATATAAATATAATTTTTTTATATATTAATATAAATTATTCGAATTTCTTAAATGAAACGATTTATCATTAAGGCTAAAGTCGTAATAAATCCTATAGCTTCCGAATTCCTTTCCCGCCCTGCGTTTTCTCTCAAGATAAAACTCTCTATCCACTTTTACATTTTTACTTCTTGTTTAAAATTAATTTTTCAAATTCATATTAGTTTGAAAAAAAAAAGAGAATAATTAGGAGTATACCATTTACAATAAAAGCATGTTTATATACTTTTGCTAGATAACTTGACGAACGGATTCTCTTCAACCTGGCATTTCTAACATTAACCTTGAACAGATCCAAGATTGCCTGTTTGGATATAACGAAAGGTTTACGAGAGACACTGTAGTTGTCTTGAGAATTTTTGATAAAAACGCTCATATTCGAAGTATTTCCTGGCTGCTTGTTAACGACTAAGCTGTCGATCGAAACTAAATTCCACATCAACATCATTCGAATGATTGCGAAAATCATTTATAACAAATATAATTTAAATGGCCGCCGTATTTGTTGATAAGAGTATAATCCTAATACATTTAAATATACATTTTCTGAGATTTTTTGTTTGTTTTGATTTGGTTTTGATAGTTGAGTATTCGTTATTGTAATTGGATATATGATTGACAAAGGTAAGATGGCGCCAATTTCATTTCATCTTTAAAACGCGGGAATTCTAAATTATATAAATAATCAATTAAAAATATCTGATATATTCCGTTAACATTATAGGAATGCAGAACCCTCGAAACCCTATCTTAGCCAATGCCGCTGGCTGTGGCCGCTCTCCTGATGCTTATAATATAAAAGGAATTCAATTACAAAATGGAAACTTGCCGTGGCGTGTTGACCAAGAGGGTGCCCCCTAGTGTTGCTAAAAAGCCCGATTCGGGTCGATTTTTGAAAACGGCCCGACATTTATCCAAAATAATATCATATAAAGCTTCCTACCTGCCATCTATGAACATAATCTTCAGGCTTACATATTTACTGACCTGAATGCATGGCACCCTCCTCTGCGCCGCCGCAGAGAACTATGCGGGAATGGGAATCATGACTCTTCGGTCTTCTTTGAAATTTGGTTAAATAAATAGCCTAATTTTAATCACGTGAGTTCACTAAAAACAAGGGGAAAGGTGGTGCGTTATCAAGAAAAAAAAGTTTCTCTCCTGATTGAGAATTAATTGCACCGATCAATTTCGATCGGTCTTTCGGTCCGTGGCAGTACGGTCTTAACCCGACTGTTGTCCTTCACAGGGTTATTAGGAGCAAACAAAAAAAACACATAAAAAATAATGTTTTTAAAAAAAAAAAATGAGTAATTAAAATAAACGCAAAACGCAACACTTTTCAATCCCGTTTAAAAGGTTTAAAATCAGCAATATCAAACCATTTTTTTTCCTCTCTCTTTTTTATATGCAGAATAAGTAAAAAATCTTTACAATAAGTTATAATTATCTATAAAAAAATTTTTTGTGGTTCCAATTTCTTCTCCTTTTTTGTCTTTCGTAGTTTTGTGACAGAATAATTTATTAGTCCCTCTTTTGTTGTCAGCACCAAATTAACGACATTTCCCGAAAGAAAAAAGGAAGAAAAAAAAATTATCGCGAACAAAAAAGAAAAAGTTTTTTTTTTGAATATAGTTTTTTAAAGCAGTATATTTTTATTTTATGTTTAAAATTTTTTTTTAATGAAAATCGATATTGGCAAAAATAATATTAATATATTATACAACGCATATTACTCATAATTGTTCAGATATCCCCAATTAGGCGCCAGGAAGTTACACGTGATTTCCGCCATTTTCGATTCTCGTTTCCTTTTTCTTTGGGCCTAAATCAGTAAAATTTTACTTCCATTTTTTTAAATTAAAAAAAACGTATTCTATTATGGAAATACCTTGTTTCTGTATGCGCCACAAAGATAAAATTCATGTCAAAAGTTAACTTTTGTTTAAACTATGGATGCAAAGGGTGGGGGGGGGGAGAAATCCCCTCTATTCTTGAACCTTCCGGTCTTTTCAGATCTGTTGGGAAATGGCCTGACGGTATTTCTCAAATTCCATGGAAGCATGGTCAATTCTTGGTCTGGGATTACTCGTGTATTGATCCACTTGCACCATCCAACCAAACCTTTAATATTCTTGAGAAAAAGGAGTCACTTAAAATAGCTAACTATTCTGAAATTTTTCAAGAATTTTATTTTCATTCCCATCATTTCCACTACCCTTACAACTTTTGAGAAATGTGCTTTATCTTTTTTTTTCAAGGAACTTGGCTCTCACATACGCCAACTCACGGGTGAACCTCGCGAAGGCTTCTTCTTAAGACAAAGACTCCCCATAGCGATACACAAGGCAAACTACATTAGCTTCATGGGCAGCCTCATCCCACAAGATGATTAGTTTTAACCTCAATACTGTGCCCTTCCCTCTCCGCCCTATTACTGATATATGTATTTGTGTGTTATTATATATTATATTGATATATTTGATCTTATTATGGTGTATAAGCGTGACTTAAAAAAAAAATTAGAATAAAATGTTCCATTCTATTTTTATATAATAATATCTATAAATTTCTTTTTTTTTTCATAATTATATTTATATATAACTAAATAGTTTATTACATTTTTACTTTTATGACTTATAAATGACAAATTTAATTATTAGTTTTATTATAGTTAATTTTTTTTTTTTTTACAAAATTTCGTAATTATTTAGTAATATTTATCATACAATATTTAAAATATTATAAAAGAAATTATTTCTGTTGTAATCAAATATTTAAAATAAAATACATAAAATGTATTAGTCCACGAGTCCACGAGAGGGCGCAATATATTTCAAAAAAATATAAAAATCAAAATTAAAAATTTTTTTTAAATTTTTTTTTAACCTATTCATGAGCTGGGTTGCCAGGTCAAAATTTTCATATTGCGGGCGAAATTCGGTATTTTACGGGTGAAATATGAAAATTCTGGTAGAAATATAAAAATGGGGGCCTGAGCAAGGAATTAACCAAATTTACCCCGGACCTTGAAAAACATTTGGCCATTTGTAGATCAATATTATCCATTTATTTTAAATATAATTAATTTTATTATTCATGTTTCCTATATTGAAATCAGGAACCTTCAAAAAGAAATTTTTTTTTTTATGATTTTTATAAAGTAAAAATCACGGCGAATGATTAAAGAATATATTATAAGTTATATAGTTATTTTTATATAATAATAACACATTAATTTATTCCGTAAGGCATTGAAGATTTGTTAAGTATAATAATATATTGGAGAATAGAAAATATTATCAAACAAAATCGATTCGCATTGAGCCATCTGGTTTTTTTTTTTTTAGAAATCATGGAAGATGGTGAAGCCTGTATAATAGGTAATATTGGTGTAGAGCAGTTATATTCTCCGAACTGCGTGAAATTTGGATTAGAGGTCTCTTTGTTTTGAATTTTTTAACCGGCCCGACCGTCCGCGCCCGTCATCCTCTCAATGTTAAAATACACGTGTGGGCGGGTTGGCTAAAAAACTGCCCATTGTAGACCTTTAATTCGGATAACATTTATAAAAAGTTTATATTCATTTGAAATAGATATCGTCCAAAACATTTTAAAAAAAATTTATACGTATAAACTGTATTACAAATTATTTAATTTTACTTTTAGAAACATTTACAGGAGTAGAATATTTATAGGAAAAAATTTTTTTTTGTTTAAAACCTTGTAGTTAGTTTTTATTTCTTGAAAATGGAAAGAAGCCTTCAGAAAGAAGGGGGGGGTTGCTAAAATCTTCAAAAATTGGATCATTGGAGTATTGTATCTGAAAGCCAGATTGTTGTGCATTTGCATCATGTTTTAAAAAAAACATGCGTACGCAAAAAAAATATGGAGTAAATCTATATGAAACTTGTTTTAAAATATATCCTATTAAGAAGTTAATAGTTTAAAAAATTTACATTTTTCGAAATTTATTTTAAATTAAAAAAAAAAATTAAACCTTTATAACAGTTTAAGCTCCCGGTGTTCCCATAAAGGGAACCATATAATTTTCTAGAAAACGAAGAAAAAAATAAATATTTTATTGGGTAAAAATAGGTTAATAATTTTTAAGATTAATAAAGCTAAAACAAAATTTTTTTTTTAAAGCAACAACAATGAACCTACACCAAGGAAACGGCACGACCATAAATTGATAAATAATAGTTTTTTTCTATATATACAACAGCTAAATGGTCTGATATTCAGGGAAGGGGTTCTAAACATACCCGAATCCCACTCCCAGTAAAATCGTTAAATTTAAAAAAATATATAATATTGACAGAAAAAAAACACATTGGACTATTTATTATATCATTCTTTCTTTTCTTTTCTTTCTTTCTTTCTTTCTTTCTTTCTTTTTTCTTTCTTTCTTTCTTTCTTTTATATCCAATAACGCTCACGGAAAAAAAAACGAAAATGTCTAAATTGTGAAAATTTTATTAATTTCCATTTTCGTTTTTTTTTTGCTTTTAGCAAATGTTTAAAAATGAAATAAAAATAAAAATTAGAACTTTATATTTTTTTTTACGACTTTCTTAACCTCATCTATCCCAAATCCAAAAAAAATAAATCACGCTAGGAGAACTATAAAAATAAAAAGGAATTTCTAAATTATTTTTCTTTCATCTTTCTATTTGTTGAGATTTTATATATATATTTTTTTAATAGCTATATAAATATATTTTTTATTACCTTAATAAAAAAAAAACCTCTATAAGGTGACCCCCAGAAGGACTGTTTCAGTTATGTTTTGGTTCAATATAAAGAGATATGGTTATTTTTTTTTGAATATAACATAGTAAGTCTTTTAGTATGATTGATCATTGATAAATATTCCCCCCCCCACCTTTTGCCCTGGATCTTGATCACTTCTACAGAAACTCTAGCGGAATATCTCGATATCGATCGGGACTTTCTAAGGCTCGATTGGCCTTTTTTGGCTCCCAAATTTATTTTAAGCCCCGGGTCATGTCAAATGTCTTAACACGGTCTCGCTATTCAATTTTTAATATAAAAGAAAGGGCCCAAACAGAAAGTGCTCACTTTTCGCAGGGTTTTATAATGGTGTGCGCATGTGCAGTTCCTTTTTCTCCCCCCCCCCCCATCCCAAAAAGGTAAATAAAAGAAATGACGATACAATAGAACTTGAATAATTTGATCATATCTTGGAGATCTGCCGAGTCCGCCCTATAATAGTGCTCCGGATTGAGAAATTTTAAGAAGCATTTGGAAATAATAATTTCATCTAAAAAATTGAATCGAACTCTATTTAAGTCTAATAGTTCTATAGAAGAAGAAGAAAAAATCAGGATAAAACATTCTCGGGATGCCAAAGCCCCCAGTGTCCCACATCATTTCTAACCCCGCCATTTTAAAAAAATGAAGTCGGATCCTGGCCAACCGATTTTGCGGATGGCTTTTAGGTTGTTTATGATTCCATAAACGATCCCGATCACCTCAGTCTCGTAGATACCTTTCTCAGCCGTGGAGAGAACGATAACTCTTTGTGAAAGAAAGAAACAAACAAACAAAGAAGGAAGGAAAGAAAGAAATTTTTTCAACTTTAAATCATTTTTTGACTCAAAATGTTAATGACAAAAATTTATAAAATAGGATAGGTATTCCAAACATGCTGAAGTACATTTCCGGTAAAATCCGATTTTTAAATTTTTTAAACGCGCTCAAAAAAAATGATATAAAGTTTGAAAAAAATAACACATTGACACTCCGGTCTCGACTCCGGCTTTGCCCGAAATTAATTTTAACAAAAGGACCGACCCGAAGCCCGCTGGAGTCCGCTAAACATTGTGGCGCGAGTTAATTTATTTAAAGTTTGCTTGAAAGTTGATTTATATATATATATTTTTTTTTTTAAAAAAAACCACCCAAGACACTGAGGTGATAAAGTCTTCGGTCTAAAAAAAAAGAAATTTACTTTCGCCATTTTTTTATAAGCGCCGGCTAAATTAGGTCTAAATGGGTCAAAAATAGAACAATTGTCCAACTAGAGTCCCAAGGGATTAAATATAATTGGTTGGAAATATAGAAGAGATCTGACAACTAAGCCTGTAGATTTGAGCTAAATTAGCCGATTTTTTTAGCCACTGTCCAAACAACCAAATTAGAATCGTTTGAAGTTGGAAACGGATTATCGAGAGGTAAAAAAAATTATACATTAGTGCACTTAAATGACCAAAATAATAATCGAAAATATGGAAGTCTGGGCTAAAACGGCTTTCGTTTCCAAATAATTCTTAAAAGGCGGTTCCGGGTTTCCTAGGTTTTGAGAGGAAAAAAAGGTTTATTAGTTTTCGTGAGTTCCGAGTGGGTCTTATCATACCTTAAACCTTCAGTTGACCGAATCGCGGTCAAGATAAAAAGACGGGAACAAAAGTACCCCGGACCAAAAAAGACGTCGAACAAAAATATCCACGGACGGACATAAAGACACTGGACAAAAATATCTCATTTTTAAGATAAACCCTTTTAAAAACATAAATAATACCATTAGTGTCATACATCTGTCATTAACACTCCAGGGAAGCACTAGTCTTCACAATCAACGATCTTTTTCTTATGATACAAAAATCGGTTTCAAAATTTTGAGGGAGGCCCAAACCCCTTTGTGCCACCCCCTCCCACCCCCCATCCCCCAAGACCAACCCTATAAACTAGTTTAAACTCTTGTCAAGGTAGATATTTTCAAAAATATTAGTTAAAATTCATTGAATTAGTTGACCTGCATAGGGCCTAATTTTTCAAGCCCGGCGCTGGCAGAAATAGAATTTATTTTAAATATAGAAATTCATTTTTATAAAATCACTCAAAATAAAAGTTTGTATAAATTATAAAATAAAATATTTTTATTTAACAAAAAAAAAAAAATTCAACCATTAAAATTGATAAATTAAAGATATTTTTTAAAAAAAATTTCAAGACCCGAACCGACCCAAATTTTTTTAAATTATAGGGCCGGCCTGGGGCCTACTGTTGCAGATCTCTACATTTGAATGATGCTAAATATCGAGAAATTTCAAATAATTATAATATATAGTATACTTCTCTTCTACAAATCAATATTTATTTATTTTTTTTACCTATTTTTGCTTTTCCGTCTCGTTTGGGATGAAAATGAATTTCCCGGCGAAAATATATTTTCTTGTTTCGATGCAATCATAATTTATACAATACTCTTTTTATTTTTTTTGTTGTCTAAATTGAATTTTTATTTCAAAGTTTTTTTTAAAATTTAATATTTTTATAATTTTCTAATTTAAAAAAAGTCGGGAAATTTTTTTTTAAGAAATAAAAAATGAAAAATGCCGAAAAAATAATAAAAAAAAAATTATTCCAAAAAAATAAAATAAATATTTAAAAAAAAAAAGAAGTAATAAATAATCTGTAGTTAGTAATTAATTTATTAGTCGCTCAAGTTGGCCACTCAAGACCGCCACCTCCTTCCTCCCTTTCTTTTCTGCATTTAGGACAGATCAAAAGAAATTAAAGAAATTGAAGAATTTGATCAGAAGAATTGTAAGTAATACGAATGTTGGTTGAATTTTAAGCAAGTTTTTTTAGAAGGAAAGCATTTTACAATATTGCCTGGTCTATAAAACTATAATAAAAATAATATTAGCATTATTTTTATCTTTATGAAACCAATTATATTTTTTAAATTATACATTAACCATTCGGCGGCATTTTAATCTTTTTATAATGTCCCTTCATTTTCGCTAAAAAATAAAGAATAAAAAAGAATGAAAGAAAGAAATGAAAAATAAAAGAAAGAAAGAAAGTAATAATGATTCAAAAGAAGAAAATAAATTTGAATTTTTCGGCGGCATAAAAAAATTTTTTAATAATAATATTTTAGAAATTCTTTTTTAATACTCCCCTAAATACTTCAAAAAGAAAATCCCGACTGTAAAACCGACAATGTATTAAAAAAATTTTTGTTGCTTTTTATGTGTTCGGTTTTTTTCAATAAAAAAAAAAATTAATGGAAAAATTTATATATATTTTTTTTATTGCCTGCCTTCGCTTTTTTTATTAAAGGAAAAAAAGAAGGAATAAAAAACGTATTTTGTTTTTTTTGTGTTTTTTTTTGTTAAATTAAAAATAAAATAATAGATTATTTTTTTTTACCAGTATCTTTTTTCTTTTTATACTCTACTTTAGTAATAAATAACTACACAAGGAAAAAAAAAAATTATTTATAAAATAAATCAATAAAAATGAAATTAGTTACCGAAATATTTTAAAAGTGAAAAAAACAATTATAAAAATCGAAAAATGATTAATTTATAATATTATTGGTTTTTTAATGGCTTAAAAAAACACACCTGAATTCATAGTTAACGCGATAACGATTTCGCGGCAAAAAAAAATACAGTAAATAAATAGCATCCCATATTTATAGTTTTACATATCACGTGTCCTATTTATATTTCGCCATTATACGGCAAACGCGTTAAGTTTGCGCGGTGCGTTTTTTACGAAAATCAAGCCGATAGCATTTATAAATATGGAGCGTTTATGATGATACCGCTTTGATCAAAAATTCGAAAAATTTAATTACCATCGTTAAATTTGTACTATGAGAATGAGATTCGCCGCGATAGATCAGCTGATACTTCGCTACGCAGGATAGTGCTCACCGCTAACTATGATATCAGGGTAAGGCTAATTTTAGGCGAACAATCATTTTTGTCTCAGAGTTGAGACCTATAACTGAGAAATCACTCTATTTAGGTCCGCTAAAACTCAGTTCTCAGCCAAAGAACTATCACCACATCCTCCCCCGTTTTTTCTTGAAAAATACCTCAATTTTGAAGAAAACACTGGCAACTCATGCTTGGACGATTTTCCTCTAACGAGTCCACGTAGGTTTTCCCAGAATAAGGATAATTCTTTTTTTTTTACTCATTTTATAAGGGTGTTTAATTGCTATTTCACCCCGGTGCTTATTTTAAAACGGTTTCGCTACACAATTATTATTGAAACTAATTTATACCAGTTTTTTCGGGTTTTACAAATTTATACAGGTTCCTATTTTTTTGCTAGAAATATTTGGAAAACTCCCAAAAATATAAAATGTGGAAAATTTATATACAATTTTTTTTATTAAAATAAGATAATATTTTCTAATGCTGCAAACATCGAACGCGTTCGCGTTCAACGTTCACCTTCAAAAAAATGTTAAACGGCTCGATTTGAACCGATTTTTAAATACGGCTAACCGAATATTTTAGCCAGGAAAATATTGCCTATACCTTGAGATTTCGTTAATAGATGCCCAAACCTTTTCCTTCTTCCTTCCTTACAGAAAAATATTACGCAAGCCTGAAGATTTTGGTCACAAGGAAGGAAGGAAGGAAGATAAAATATTGAGTTAGCCATATTTAAAAATCGGCTCAAGAGCCATTTAACAACACTATATTTAGTTATATTATATGAATATTACAATCAAGTATCTTTTTAAATTAGAAATTGAAGATTTTGGGAACTGATATTTTGGTTAAAGATAGAATTAGTTTATAATTGTATATTTCATGTTACTGGTCTGGTACAGTATTTAATATATTTAGGCCATGGTAATGTTAATTCAGCATCCATGTTTACGCTAATCTATAAATTAATAATATTCGAGTTTATAAACCTATACTATATGACAGTAAAAAAAAAAATTCAAATGGCGATAAAGGAAACAGCTGATTAGAAAATAATCCCTTTTTTTAAAAAATTATATGATTTGGATTAATTATTAAAATTAATATTTTATTTTATTTTTCATATGAATAAAAAAACAAAAAATATTTTCTAAAATTGAACGAACGTAAAAATCGAACGCGTTCGTCAAGAACAAAAAAAACGAACTTCTTCGCGAAAGCGTTCATTTTGAACGAGTTCGTTTACAACATTAATTATTCTAATTTTTTTTTTTTAAAATAGTGTTGCTTAAAGTTGCTTTTGAAAAACGACCTGTTCCCTTTGAATGAGTAAATCCAATGACATATAATTAAACCTAAACTGGCACTCCTAGATCATGACCCCACCCTCCCTCTTCCAATTTGTAGTAGAAGTGCTGGGATCAGAGATGCCACAGTGCCTTTTAGAATATTTTTTATTCGGAAAAATAATATAGAGCGCTCCCCTCAAAGGTGCACCAACCCCCCTCTCCCCACCCCACACAATCGCTATTGGGGGAGGGGTAATATATAGTTATAAATGAATAATGGGGGGGGGGGATTAGATTTAAGGTGATCCTTTATTCTCCATAAAAAAATCCTTATTCCCTGATTGTTATTGAATGAATCAAGATTTATTAAAGTTTATTCTGAAATATTTGTCGAGGTCAGATAGAAATTAAGTAAAAAAAAAAACAGCCCAACTAAAATTCTCAACAATAAAGATCATATATAAATATATGTATAAAGAAAAATTTAACCAATAGTTTATTCTATTTAAATTTTAAGGGGCTCAACAGATTATTTGATCAAGATCACGTGGGTGAGCGGAAACATAAGGAAAATTTAATTTCTTAGATTTACCAGCAGAAATAAAGATTCGTTAGTATATTTAGGACCCCTTCTTTCTTTCTTTCTTTCTTTCTTTCTTTCTTTCTTTCTTTCTTTCTTTCTTTCTTTCTTTCTTTCTTTCTTTCTTTCTTTCTTTCTTTCTCTTCCTTCCTTACTTTCTTTCTTTCTTTTTTTTTGTAAATTATTTTCTATTTTCTTTATAATTTTTTTACCCGAAGATAAAAAAAAAACAGATTTCATCCTAAAAAAATACTAATTTATAATTAGTATTTCGTTTTATTTTATTTTTTTTGTTCAAAGAAAATAGGAGAGAGAAATAAATAAATAATTTTTTTCTAAACCAAAAAACCCAAAAATGAAGCCATTTTATTTTTTAAAACTACAAAAAACCCCACTATATTTTTATGGTTATTTTTTTATTTTTAACGATTATGGAAATAAATCAAAAATTTATATCAAAAGGAAAAAGAAAATTCCAACCCCCCTAAAAAAAAACTAAGACAATTATATATATATCTATTTATTATATTATTATCTCTTTCCCCGCCAAATTATAAAAAAAAAATGAAAAATGATATTTTAATAAAGAACCCGAGAATTATTCCCTTTGATCTTCCCTTCTTTATTTTTTTTCTTTCTTTTCTTATATAAGCGAAATATATTTAAAAAAAATTGGAAAAATTATAATAATATTTTTATTTAAAAAGGAGAGAAGTGAATAATAATTATGATGATCGATTTGTACATAAATTATCATTATGATTATTATAAAAGTTAAATATCGTATCGTGAGTGGTTCAATTCAACGAAAACTCCTTTTGTAAAATATAGACAAACTTTTGTCGTGAAAATGTATCAGCTGCTTATTATTCCCGTTTTTAAAGGGGTGGGGGGAGGAAATGGTCTTTGTCTGGAAATGGCTTAACATTTGTTTACAAAAAAAAAATCGAATATTTACCAAACCGCGAAAACTTAAATGAACTTTAAATTTTCTGAGGTGTACCATGACCTATGACATATAATAATACGTTGACTGATGATGCATTAATTAAAAGTGTAGATCAATGAAAACAGCTGGAGACACCATTTTGATTACCCATATAACTATTAAAAAATTTTAAACGAGAGGACATATTCCTAACTCTGACGCAAACTTTATTTTAAAAAATTGTCTGATAAAAGAGATAATAAGGAAGCAAGTTATCAATTTAATAGTAGTTGTTAACATGAGAATTATTACTATATGGGTTACCAAGGAGGGTCCAGCTGATTTGCATTCGACCACTTCAAATGCATTATGATGATCGCATCGTCAGTCTAGGTATTACTATATGCCATTGGCCATAACTGAATCTTTATAAGAAAATTTTCAAAGGGAGAGAACCCGGTTTACAAAGTTTTTATAAATTATATTTAAACTTAATCACTTTTAAAGAAAAAAAAATTGTAACTGTAACTAATCTCTGTAACTAACAGCATTTGAGTGAATGTAACGACAAAAGTAACGACTGTTAATTAAATATAATAGCACATTTACTTCAAACGCACCTATGTTATTTTTTTATAGAGAAATCCTATTTTTGGGTAAATATAAGCACGCACGCATTTTAAACACCAATTCTGAAAATAAATTTTTGTTAAATAAAAAAAAAATATATCAAATCATCATAGTTTATTAAAAGCTCAAATTTTTATG